TGTCAAGTTTCAGCTCCAGCTGCGTCAGGCGCCATGTCAAGGAGTCCACGTCTTTTCTCAGCTTCTGGGGACTGTCCACGACGTTCACCAGTAGCGGGCAAGATGAGCTGGTGGGTCGGTGTAACAACTCCTCTTGCAACGGCCAGTTTGCAGCGGTGTTCAGTCTCCATTCCCCCGGAGATCCAAGCCACTGGTCCACTTTGCTAATGAGCTCCGTCATGCTGCCAACCTCCACGTCCCTGAGCGTGCCCTTGAGCGGAGGTTTGGGACTTCCGGGCCCTGAACCCTCACCCATAAATCGTAACCTCACGTGAACTCTCTGGTGCATCTTCGGCTCCAGGACTGCACGTACTTCTTCCGTCCGAGCTTGCGAAGGAATGTGCCGGGACATGGCTCACAACAATCGGCATGGCAAATCAAAGCAAAGCAAACGGCTTCAGCAGACCACTTCTTTCAAGCTAAATGCTTGTAGGCCGGAGCTTAGGGGCTCAGAAACAAATTGATTTGCAGTCAGAGAATCGATCACAAAGACGCAAACAAACAACCGGCCTCACATCATAGACACATTATCAACGCATCTACCGCACGTTCAGCTGCAATTGGTCTGGCGAGCGGCCAGGTCCAGAAGCACCGTACTTAGGAAGCCTTAGGCGTCCCTAAGCATCTTCGTCAACTCAGTCAGCACCTAAAAATCCAAGAAGCGCAAACCCTTTGCTAGAGCTTGAAGTGCAAGCCCGAGGACTGAGGCCTCGCACAAGCATCCTGTGCCCTTGTTAGAATGCTGCACAAGTCACTGGGCCGTCGCAGAATGTCATCCACAGAGTTGTGGCCAAGCCAGCCTGCTACCGCCTCCAGGACGTTGACGGGGATGGCTCCATCGCCGCCAAGCTGTCGCAAAGCTTTCCCACATGGCAAAGGCGTAGTTTCCACCATCATGTATAGTATACTGAGTGCACTTCCCAATGCATCGCGCAAGGGGTCCAGCCAATCTACTCGATCAAATCCCCAGTAGCCAACTCTTGTCAGCAGGCCCATGTTGCAAGATTGTTTCGATGTGTGTGAAAAAAGGAGACTTTTGCACTATAATGTTGAACAGGTATGGGTTCAGTGAGTACAGGTATGTATTGTTTGGCGACATTGCCTTCAAAATGTTGCTCAACGGCCACCAAATTCCGAGATTTCCTTGAGCACCTCATCATCTCCAGCTGGCAGAGCTTACATTTAGCGATCACTCCCCTCACCAGCTTCAACAGGACTTAATCCAGCAGAAGATGCCCTAAGCCTGACAAATGCATGTATTCGCCGCAGCAACAACCGTGGCTGAAGGAGTGAGACCGTGCGAACGGTGCCACGACTTCAGTATGCACTCCGCCGTGGCCGTCGCCGGCTGCGACTTTTGCGATGGTAGCCGCGACCTTATTGGCTGGCGGCGAGACCACAGTCTGCAAATATGATGAAGCTCATCTGATTTTAAGTCACTGGCTGAAAGCCCGGCTTGAACCATTGCGGTGGTAGTGTCGTGGCGAGTACTGACGCAGCCGCGCACCATGAAACAAGCCACAGTCCAGGCTGTGATTCTTCAACAAGTCAGCTGTCCTCGTCACCGTCTTCAGAACTGCCGTAGCCGTAGTCGCGGCCGCTACCACGACTTGCACTGCCTCCGCGTCGCCTGCCTTCTGACTTGTCTTAATGCAAAAAGAAAGGCTGAATCATCCCCATTCTCTAAGCAAGCACGCATGCTGCCCAGCTGTCACCAGCACGGCTCACAATGACTGTTGGCCGCTGCTTCCCCCTGCAGCTAGCGAGCCGCCACTGCCGCAATCGCCATCGCGGGCGCCGCCGCCACCACAATCACCGTTACAAACACCACAACCACTTCACTTCCACAATGACAAGATCTACAGCACCTCCTGTATGCTATGTCCCATTTCCCTCACCTGGAACCGCTGGATTTGCTCTCACAAGGAAAAATGGTGTACACTTGCTACTGCAAGTAGCACCAAAAAGAAAACAACTCAAAATATTTCACGTGCTAGCAGAAATCGTGCAAGTATGTTTGCAAAAAAAAACTTGTGTCGCTCACCCGCAAGGGCTTTGCGAAAAGGCGCTTTAAGTTTTGGCATCTAGGCCTCTGTAGATCATCGGGAGATGTACTCAATATGTTTTTTGACTGCTTATGTTACGCCTATGTTACTGACGTAACACTGCTTCTTAGCTGTTGAACCTCCTGGTAGCAGTACTTTTCTGCCTCGGTCCTGATCCTACACAATTATACACTGGAGACTGCTCAAGCAACGGCGGTGGCTGCAATACGGAGGGAGGGGGGTCGCACGCGTTCTATGCTTGCACTTGCCATACTACTTGTTACTACTCGCGCTACCACTACCCTGACGCAGCTGCCACTGCTCTGTAGCCGGAGTAGCCTGGGTGCCCACCTGACCGTTCTCGGCCAGACACCATCGCCTCATTAACATCTGGACTTGGAGAAGGCTTGAAGTTCCGACTGCATGCAGACACTCACGTCCGGTGGTGCCTAGGGTTGAATGTCTTGAATGAGCGCTATGAACTGTCACATGGGTTGCGTCAACAGTACAGCTGCCAGATTCAACTGCCCCTCGATGCGCACAAACTCCTTCCTTTGCACACCAAGGCACCGCTCGACCACGCGTGTCTTCACCTGTCAGAAATCAAACTCCGGAGCAGCGAGGCTCATCGAGCACGGAGCCTCGGCTTCTCTGCCGCGGTCTTGCCTCCTCGCTGCCGCGTCTCCGACGATCCTTAGTGCACAAGTCATCTTGCCTCCACGCAAAACACGGTCCTGTGCATATAAGGGTCAGGGGCTTTGCTGGGCTCTTTGCCTTTTGCCTGCGGGGTTCAGGAATCAGCCCAGTTCCTACCATTTTGCATGGGCAAAGGTCCTTGATGGCTTGCTCCATCTTGGCATGCTTTGCCTCCAGGTCAGCATGCCTTTCCCTCCTGGTGCAGTGGTTTGAGAAGACCCTGAAACAAGTGTGGCATGCTGCACGGGAACCGACTGGTGCTGCCAAGTGACACCTGCTTGTATCCTGGCCGAATGCATACTGGAAAGCAGGGACATTTCATGTCAACAGGCCTTCGTGGACGTCAAATTCAAAGTGAGCTTTGTACTTTATCTCGTCAATGTAGACTGCCCCACCTCAGCTGCCAAAGATGCTCCGAAGCGTACGTTGTCGCAACAGCCCAACGCAAGCACATGTGCGTGTCCACTGAGTCTTTCACAAACCTCACAAACTGTGGGCCGTATGGCGTCCAACTGCTTTTTGTTCTCCACCCTCCTTAGCGGTCCATACAGCTGGAACAAGGTTCAAAGGTTCAAAGGCAATTCACCCGCTTCACAAGGCTAGTTCGAAAAGTGGCAATTGCACCCACATGTTTGCACATCATGCCTTTTCAACATGCCATCCTTGGCCGTCCTGCTCCAACTGCTCCAAGGCTTGGAGTGCAAAGAAACGATGCATCTGCACCACGGACAGGTCCTCGAAGCTCGAATAAACAACAAACTGAGATGAGGCCAGCAGTTTTCCTTGGAGCTTTGCAGACCCCAGGCGTACACGGCACGTCCATGTCCCAGGCTTGGCGCTTCCAGCACATTCTTGAGGAATTCCGAATGCCACAGGTTGCCCACCCAAAAGCGAAGGGCTCACGAGCACGTCAGTCACCTGACCACATCGCGCACCACCAGGAACTATCCATTCTGTTGTCACTTGGAGGCCGACGTCCTCAGTTTGTAGATGTCGTGCCCAGTACGTGGCCAGGTGTACGTCTCTTGCTGAACAGCTCGAAAGAGGAAGGACGTTGACATGACCCTCGAACTGTCCCCGTTCTCTCGCCCAGCCCGTGCCGATGCGCAGTGCTAGAAGGGACACGCCCATCATACTTGCATGCCCTGGTATGGAGGCAGGTACAGCGAACCTTTCTGAGAGCATAAAGGTTTCGGTTGCTCCACTGGCTCGAAGGCCTCGCAGAAGCCAGGTTTCGGGCGTTCGGGCGGCCATGGCCTTGGCTGTGGAAGGGTGAGGTTTCAAGCGACCCAACAGTTCGATGCCACCCCATCCTTGGCATGTCTCATCACCGCTTCCCCGCGTAGAGCAGGCCGAGCTGTCGGAAGGTGCCGCAATTTGTGCCCATCGGGGGAAATTGGTCTCCAGCCATGGCAGCAAGCCTTTCCAGGATGGTGCTGTTTCTGAAACTCGCCGCTCCTGGATCATGGCATCCAAACGGCGGCACAATTCAGAAGCGGGCTCCTGCGAAACGTTGAGAAACTTCCGAGCAAAAAATCGAGGGTGGGTTCTGCCACCCTCAAACAAGAGGGCTAGATCCTGGTGCGAGAAGGCAGCCGGACTGCGAGTCCCGATTTCGTCATCCATGCCATGCATTTTGCGATCTTCCACTGCCGGAATGTAGTGAAGAATCATGTCGACATGACGTTGGCAGAAAGGTGAGTTGAGAAGAGCCGTTTGAAAAAAGACTTCATCAGGTTGGTAAAGCAGCAAGGCATCTGTCCAGACCTCATGCATGGCTGAGGACGGCTTGTCTACTTCCACCGCGAGATACTTGGCAAAGTCATGCGTCAGAGCAATCCATTCGCTGCCGCGCGCAAAGCGCATGCCAAAGGACAAGGGCTTGTGCATCCTGAGGGTTGACAAGAAACTGTACGTAGCCCCAGCACAGGCTGTACCCAAATGCCGAGAGCATGTGGAGGCATAGCAGCCATCCAGTCCCACGAAGTTGAAGCCTTTGTGCAGCCAAAGGTACTGCTGCAAGGCGTAGCGTGGCGCCACGGGGTAGTCAAATTCGCTTAGCTTCACAAAGTAATTCCAGGGCACCTCTTCCCCACTGATCGGCCGCAGTTTCAACAGCCGCCTCAGGCCCAGCATGCTTGCGAGCATCAGGTCATTGCCTCCCTTTGTCACATTGACTGCGGAAAAGGTTTGGGCCCTAACGAGCTGGGCACCTTCAAGAAAGCGATCCAGTTGAGACTTGACATCCGGCGACTTGAGATCTACGTGGATCAAAAAAATGTTGTTCGGAGCGTAGATACGCTGAAGCAGGCGCTTCACATTCTCCGCGGCTCGGTGCGCAAGAATTAGGAAGGCCAGGCGGAAGTCCAGTGCAGGCACTTCCAACCGCAAGGGCATCGTTTCCTTTGTGCCTTTGCCATGCTTCCCTGTAGAGCCAGGATTATTTAAAGCGCACTGGGAGGCGAAGGGCCTGCGCGGAGCCTGAAGACCCTGAATCGGTTGCGTGATGCATTCAAAGTACTGCAGGCCTTGCTCGTCTGTCAAGTTTGCACAGGTGTTGAAGCTTTGCACATCTTCAACAAGCTGACAATAGTACCGCTTCAAATGTTCCTGGCACTCAGCCGGTGCCGACTTCAACAATTTCCACAAATCTCTCCTTGCTGTTTGCCTGCACCGCTTCGCAGGGATCACAGGCTGCGATGTGAGCATGCTGACCTGCGACTTGAGCTTTGCATGGTAAAATGGTCAGCGAAACCACAACAAAACACCTTCAACACGTTGCCAATCCTAATGAGGACCTCTCCGAACTCTTCAAGTGAAGAGAACTGCTTTCCCCTTCTGACAAGCCGCATTGTCTCTGGCTGCGACCCGGTGGCGTAGCAGTTCATGCAAGGTTAGATCCGTACCTTCGAACCGCTCGTTGGCACTTGAACTACTGACACTTGCAGCAGACTCTGAAAAATGTTGAACTTGCAGTGCTAATGGTTCGTCCAGTGACCAGTCGCAGGCAGAGCTAAATGCAAAGTGACAAACGCAATGCCAGACTCGGTCCAGCGTCTCATCTTCAAATTATGCCATCAGTGGCTCCTAAAGCTCAAAGCAGCCGCAGGGCATCACTCAGCTGTGCCAGGCATTGAGGACGGTTGAATTCGAATTGTTGATGCAGGCATGGCTTGCGAATCTGTGTTGCGATAAGCTCTGAAAATGGCTGCGTCAGGACTGATGTTGCTCGCACGCGCTGCCCTCAGCAACATGAGACACAGAAACTGGAATGATGTTGGGAAGATGGCAAACATGTGCGTGTGCCCACAAAACTACAAATTGCAGGGAAGGCTCTCAAGCTCCTCTGCTTCGTCAAGCTTATCCTTGCAATGAAGCTGCTCTGGGCTAATCTACTCGACTAAGACTATGCACGCTGCAGGTGTCCTTGGCGGCTCGGAACCACGTCATTGAAAGGTTCTTGTACCCTCCACCTGCAGTGGCTTCCTTGTCTAGCATGTCTGCACGTCCTTGGCATGTCAGTCGCGCGCGGCTGAGAATGGCTTCGGCAGACATCTGTCGTAATGGATCACGTTTCATCCAGGTCTCGATGTATCTCATTCGACTGCTTCTTTAAGAGCTCTATACGATGAACGACCTCCGAAGGCAGCTTCACCTTTCGCGGCTCGTTCCGGATCCTCTCAACCTCACAGCTTCCCACACGGATCGCAAGAAGCTGCATGAACACAAGGCGGAGTGGTACGCCTCGCTGGCCGAGTACTCCTCAGCAAGCCGCAGAACATCCTCGCAGTCTTGCAAAGCAAGCTTTTCAAAGCTGACGCGGGTTTCACCTCAGTTGCAGTTGCCACAAAGTGACACGATGGCATGGCAGGCGATGGCAGCAAAGCATCATGAAGTGGGTGTGGAGAAACTTGGAGAAGAGTCTCTGTCTTTGGCACCCTCGGGATGCTGGTCAAAACGTTCTCGGATTGCTTCCGAATGGATCTTTGCGCAGACCTGGCTGCCGCACATGGGAGCCACAAGCGGACAGAGCGAGGAAGCATCGTGTAGACCCGCGACAAAGGGAATAGTAGAGCGAAGTTCCACGGAGAAAGCTCACATCCCGTGTCCTGCCTTGATATTCCGATTCCCACCCAGCACGTCCTTGCAACTCAATGTCAATGCCGCCAGCGCGTTTCTGCAGCCAAGCTTGTACAGCCGACCGAGACCTACTTGAACTCAAGCTGTCCTTGTCGTATGGGCAGAAGCCGGCCAGGAAGCCTTAGCAGCAGCCAAACGCCCAAATCTTTGTGGAGCTAGACTAGCTGTGCTACACAATCAACAAGGCACACTGCCATCCTTCTTTGATTAATCTTCTGCAAGCATGCTGCAGGCGAGCAGCTTTTGCACACAGACTCGCTTTTCCAATCTTCTGATGGATCCTTCTTGGCTTTTTTGCCAACGTCGCGTTGAGGACCCATCAAGGCATCCAACCTCGCGGGCGGCGGAGAGAATGCCAGAGAAGCACACTTGTTTGACGACTTGGGCAGATCATGGCAGATCAATCGCGGGCACGTGCTGGATACTTGCCGGATACTTGCTGGAGCTGGCACTGAGGCTCCGGCATTGCCCTGGCCTGATCCATGCCTCCAAGGGCGATGCGGCCGGAGCTCGCTTCAAGGTCACGGATCTGCCTTCATGGCTTCGCGGCTTCACGGATCGGCTTGCAGTTTGCCAGGCGGGCTGTGTATGGCTGTGTGATGCTGCGAGGCAGGGAGAGCCCGTCAGATCTCCTTTTTAATTGCTTGTGCCTTGAAGCGAAAGGACATGGGTTGGCATATGTTGGCCTTCGAGTAGCACTGTCTAATGTCTAGCCCTGTTACTGGACAGGTCTCGAGATTAGAGCCAGCAGCTGCCATGGCTCGCATGAGCTCCACCAAACAGGCCACACATGCACACGTTGCTCACCCAGCGACACCCAAGCTGCAATCGCACTTTTGCAAAGGCCTCGCGGACACTGTGCTGCAGAGTGAGCCATAGCTGGGTGCAGCCTGCCCGCTCCGCCATGCGTAGCAGCAGTTGGCGTGGACTGCCCTCCTGTCTCCCAGGATCACCTACTAAATCCTGACCACTCGAGGTATCAAGCTCCTTGAAGCCTCCTGAAACTGCCACTCATTCTCTGTCCTGAAAGGCTATTGGCCTGGCGCAGCAGCCGTCTCCATCCGTAAGCGTAGGATGTGAAACGGCGCATAGTCAGCGATGCTCCGGCCTGGCAAATACGCTGCAAACAAGGCCTCATTCGAACACAGACCTTGTGCAGAACCTGCTGTTTCCTTAACCAACAGGACAAATTTCAGAATCTTAGGTGTGCGACACTCCTGGCCTCGCATGACATGATGCAGGGCGCTACAGGTGACGTAGAGCCAGCCGTCCTTGGCGCGAAAGGACTTCTACCGCAATCTACTTCCGCCCTGCAAACCTTAAGTAAGAAGACCTACTCAGAAAAAGGTGATCTCTGCTCGAGGTTCAGGACCGAAACTCAATCCGTCTGGCCACTGCCTCCGCTCGCATGACTGATTTGAGGAATTGGGGTACAATACTGAAGATGTATGAAGAACTGGCCACATTGGCCACATGCTCGAATAAGGGCAGGGCAGATGCTCCTTGCTCCGGTAAATAACCTCGCACAGGCACGGCATCTGCAATGCAGCTGACCCGAATGTACTCTCAGCCTTGAGTGATCGGTCCGGTTTGATGGCTACAAGGGCGCTGTGCTCAAACGCGGTCACAAGGACATTTCCTGCTAAACAAGGCTCAACAAAACGTGGAAAGCATCGCACTGCTGAATCAATACAGCCTGCATCATCCGTGCTAAGCCCGTCCGAAATGGGCTTGGCCGCATATCGCTCAACCGCCTGAAGCTAAGGTTTGCCGGCTGCGAGCACCCCGTCATCCCAACGACTGTTCATCTTTGCTGAAGCTGCGCTCTTTCTAGCTGAAAATGCGCTGCAAAAGGAAAGTTGCCTTTCCTTTACCGGACTACTTTCCTTCTAGTCTGAAGGTACCGTGCATTGATTCAACGTGTTCCAGAGCAGCCACGCGGCGCCCGCAACCTCACTCTCAGAGGCATTGGTCGCGAGAAGGGCCGCTGGAACGCGGAAGAGGGCCGTGGAGCTCAAAGGGCCAAAGTAAAGCCACCTCAACTCGACTCTTGGACTGCGCGGGCCAACATGGTCAACAAAGGCTTGGAGCCTCAACAAATCTATGCAAGCATACAAAGTAGCACAGCTTGGATACGCTTACAGGATGCGGCCGAAATCGACCAAAATGACCCCATTACCCCGACATGAGCATCATGTCATCCTTTGAGGGTACCCCCTTGGAACGGTCCTTGATAAAATCTTAACGTCACTGTGCCAAATCAAGGCCACTGTCACTGACACGAACACAAATAAAAGTCACCGTTACATCCGAGTCTCCTCGACTTCCTGTCGAGGGCTATGCTGTCAACCCCGATGCGCGACAGGACTGACAAGAGCGCAGAGTCCCCATTGACGTTGATGCTCTTGGTCGGTCACTGCGATGCATCGCACGACATGGTTGACAATGAACCTTCGGAATGATGCGCGTCAGCGACGCATGGACGAGGTGCAGACGCGGCACCAACGTTTCAGGCATTACGGAAAGATGTCCGTCCAAGTACCGCCGGCAAGCATCCTGGTTAAAAGAAAGCGGGTAAGGGGGTTAAAGATTTGAAAGCAAGTCAACACAGTCCCTGATAGATCCGCATGGCCCAATACTTGTTCCTGCTGCTCGGTCTCATTCATCACCACTGCCATCCTAGACCCCCTATAGAAAGCCTGGGGACTTCAACACACAGGGGTAGACGGTCTGTCTCAAAGTCTGGGTTCAAAAAGAATCGGCAAACAAGTAATTTCGGGGACCCTGCCTACATTCTGGTTCAATTCTGTGAGGACTCCTTGGACTGCTTCTCCAGAAGGGCCATGGAGCAAGCAATGAGGGCTGGGGTGCCAGCCAACGCTGAGGTGTCTGCAATATACAGCATTGACTCCTTCAGCATGGCCAGGCAGGTCGAAACTTTTCGTCATTGCTTCTAGCAGCTAGCAGCCCTACCTCGTTTAGCCAAGGCGCATCAGGCGACAAGTTGAAATCGTTCAGCATCGACCCGAAGCCAGCAATTTCGTTTGGAAAGCTGTACGCCATCTGGAACCGATCCTCTTTGGCCGATGACCCAAGCTCGAAGATGACGAGCTTCGGAGTGTGCATAACACCATGACCTGCAGAACTTGCAGAGCTCTCCATTTCTTTCAATCTTGGTTTCTTCACCACATCTTACATCGAGCCTACATCGTACCTCATGATCATCAAGTTGGGTGTTACATCGGAGGGACTTCCCTTGAAGCCAGGCCTGCGTGATCCAGCAAGAACAACCTGCCCGAAGAGCCAATTCGCAACGAGAGGACCTCCCGCGTAGCTTTGTCCAAGTCCAACCTGCTGCAGACTGGTCTTCATATAGTCTTAAATCTCCATGCCGACTTCCTACACACGGGACCCGGAGCGGAGCTTCCCATAACTCCTTCCAAGACGACAACCTTGCAGCCACCTCAAGCTTTGACCAAGGCCCAAAAAACCATGCCCATGAACTATGAACCAACCCGCTGAAGGAGCACATCCTCACATAACAAAACCCTCGCGTTTAGCAGCAGGCAGCATGAACCCGAGCCAGAACGTTGCAACGTCACGGATGCAGAGAGATGCCCACATGCAAACTCTTAAGCAATTCAAGAGAGTCTACCCTTGCGGCAAGGGTTTGCTGGAACCTGAACTTTCAGCGCCCAGCATCCCAAAGTTAGCCTAAATGCTTCAAGACTTCAATTCTCCACCCCTAGACCCATAAGAAACGCATGGCATGTAATAACGTCTGGGGCCCAGGTTTGTAGAAATGGTTTGAAAAAACTATTGGGAAACACGCACCCAAAGCCCACAAATCTTGTTCAAACGGAGTAGCTCGGCACCCAAGATCTTTTTTGGCAACGTTCTTTTGACGAGCCCGGTAATCCCTCCCATCAAAAGACGTTACAACCCCCGGAAGGAAGCAGGGTACACAACTACATTGACTACATCGCTGCAAAACATGTACCGCAGCCGATAGCCACAGCAATAAGACTTAGCCTGGTCGCCGGGCTACCGAAAAACATGATAAACCCGCCCGGACCCCCTAAGCGCGCGTCAAAACCGGGAAAAAAAACACCCTTTAAGGGAGAAAAAAAAACGCTATACAGGCGCGACGGAGACCAGGCAGACCCCTGCTCGCATGGAAGACCTGGCAAGTTACAACGAGCTGGGGAAGAGAAAGATAGCTCGGCAGTCAAGCGACCTGGAGACTCACACTCGGCCTCGTGGCTCAATTTCAAGCTCAACAAGACTGACGCGCAGACGCGTCGCAGGCACAACAGTGGTGTCGCCGCAGGGCCAACAGCAACAGCGAGCTGTTCGAATAATCGGCCGTGAACGGCTGAGCAATCAGCTCCCTCGACCGCAGCAACAACCGCGGCCAGTCTGTGGAGCAGGGCTGAAGCGTCTTTGGCGTAGCCTCCCTGCGCTTCCAGAACCAGAGGCTGGTAGGTGAGCTCACTTACAGGGCGCCAGCTGCCATCAGGCAACCTGTCTTGTAGCCGCCCTGGCTGAGGTTCAAAAGAACGTTGGCATGAATCCGCTGCTCCAGGCCATACATCACTTCTTAAGAAACCTTGAAAGCCAAAAGCTTCCAGGCTCAAGCCCTCAAGGCCTGACTTATGAAGCAAGCCACTAACAAGCCCATCCAACGGTCTTGACAGCCACAACTCGGGAGAGTCGAGACTTGTGTTAGGAGAGGGACCACGATGCTAGGCAAGGTCCAACACAGATCGATTTGCGCTTTCTGTGCCAGGTCTATTGTCAGGAAATATGCCCAAACGCCCTCCCTGTTGCAGCTTGCGCCTGGGTATCCAAGAGTCGCCCATTACTTCAGCAAACTTGTAGCCTGAAGGCTGCTTGTGGATGGGGTGGAAGTTGAAAATGATGCGGCCTCCGACAGTGGAACTGCTGCCAACACGAGCCTAGTCTGACTGAGTTGCGACCCTATATTTGCCTGAAGACGACACCGCTAGGTTGCCCGGTGGCGTCTCCAAGCTAATCACCGACTCCACCAGACCGGTTCGAAAATCGTGGCTCCTGGATCAAGCGGCCGATGGCGCTGCATGTTTCATGAAGATTTGAAGAAGGCAAGCAAGGCAAGCCAAGCATCATGCTCATAGTCGGAATGCCCAAGTCCGGCACGGCCTCAATTTCATAAGCGCACCCAACAAGCAAGGAAGCACAACTTTGCCTGGCCTGACCAGTGACCAGCATTCCCCGGCGCTGCAGCAAGGTCAGCAAGCATCCCACCAGCATTGCCAGAAAGCAAACGAAGACAGCGCAGCAAGCCATTGCTTCCAACACAGTGTTCTCCCATCCACAGACGCAACCTACCTGCGCTTTCTTCAGGACACTGGTGCTAGGATCTTAGCCAGTCTCAGGAAGCCTTGTGACGCTCGCGCTCCAAAATTCAATGTCTGTTCATCCTGTCCATTATGCCTCCATGTAGAGGAGAAGAGCAGCCTACCACATATGCACATGCCGTTCTTCAACACAATCTTCTGCACCCTGCACAGGTCTTTCTTTCCGCTCATCCTGTGTGAGTCGGAGGCTCTTAGAGAAGCTGCGCCTCCGCCTGTCCACTGAGCTTCCAGAACCCAGCTCTCAACACCCCCTCTGCTCGCCGCAGGCTGCAATCACACAGAATAGGAAAAAGGGCTTGGAATGCGTGCGGCAAGAGAGGTGCTGTCAAGAGGCTACGGGTTTAAAATTTCCAGCGCGCAGTCTGCGGTCTTTATGGGTCATCATGCCAGACATGCACGGAGGGGCCGGGTCTTCGCCCATGCACCATCTGGGATCTGACAAGCGAAAATGAAGTTGTCAAACAGTTTGACCCCACCTGATAGAGCACCAAGCTTTGCAAGAGCGTCTTGCTACTTCCGGCCTGCCCCGTAGGGTATCAAGGAACACGAAGCGCGAATCGTCTTTAACTGGGCACAAAGAATGGAATCCGAAACCCGAAGAATTGCTGCACGGAGTGCAACCCCACCATGCAAATCCGGCTGATTTAGGGTCAGACGCAGCTGTGGCTGTTTCAAACAAAACTTGGGAGTCTCGTGCTCCCATCTTGAGAGGCAGAACTGTAACGATTTGCCCGCCTAATCTGCTGGGGCGAAGTGTTGCCTCTCAGCGTCAGTTTGCACATGATGCATTTGAATTCCCAAAAGTGAGATTGTTGGATGCGGGCAGGGAACAGCAGTCGCTGAGCCCCATGCCACTGCGAATGGGACACTTGGTGTGCCATGGCCCTCCATCATAACTCATAAACGACACAAGCACAGGTTTCATCAAGACATCGGATCAGGCTCTCTGGCACACCAGACCATCCCTGTCACCCAAGATGCCAGTACACGGCTGTGATCTTGCACTCAAGCCCGCACCGCGCATTATGGCTCTTGCCCAAGATGGCCAGTCAAACGCGCACAAGAAGACTGTTCATAACTTGGCAGATGATGAACATACCTTTTTCTGACCAAGCGGGCAAGATTCCTAAGCTCGGCTACTGCTTAGGCCTCCTTGGCGCACTGGTATGCCATGCTGTGCTCACCAGGAGCCTCCAGGAATTTGAGCTGGCAGGTTCGCAGTGCCTTCGTGCCTTGGCCACAAGGCGCTGATGAGTCGTACTTGTAGAAACAAAGAAAGAGCTGAAGGACAACACAGCATGCTGAGCCATGAGCCATGAAGATCTTCCTGGCAGCAGCTGTTCTCCAACGGGTTGCAGCTGTTCCCCTCCGACACGCAGGCTTCCGCACCCAGGTTTGTAATCTTGCCCTTACAGACTCGGCGCTTCTTCGGGCCGTTGTCTGCTTGGCAAGTCATGGTCAGGCTGCTTTTGTCCACTTGGCAGCAGGTGAGGTCGGATGTGCACTCTTGGCCTTCAGGCGTGCAGCTTGCGTCCGGCAGTGATTGCTTGGGAAACTCCTCGCCACATTGGTAGGCCATGCCCTCATCCCCTGCGGCGGTGCTTGGACGCAGGCGGCATGTCATCAACCCAGGCCCCTGGCAACAACGATTCGATGTTGGAGTGCAGGGGCTGCCCTGACCAACGCATTTCTGCTCCTCAGTGCCCCTCAGATTGGCCTCGGCCAAAAGAATCAAAAGACTTACGACGCAAATGCGACTCATGGCAGCAAAGGCTAGCTGAGAGGGCTGTCAGATCGAGATTGCTGGAGCAAAATGCTGTGGCCGGGAGTACCATGCACCACGTCGCACAACAAAGCATGAACCAGCAAAACGCTAGCGGCACTCAGATACGAAACCTGCCGAGAATGCTTGTTCATGGCACCGTCTTTTCTGCAAGCGAGCATTGTGGCTTCAATGCTCTCGGATACAACGGCTAGTGTTGGTTCGGTCCCAGTCGATCCAATACGCGGGCCTGCGTATGCCGCAAGTAACCCATTCGATTGAACCAGATTGGAGCACTGACAGATTGCAATCAAAGAATGTGCTAACTTTGCTGACCCTTTCCTGTCTACTTTATGAAGCACCGGACCATTCACTGCCTTCCAATGGCGTGTGCTAACACCGCCCCAAGGTCAAGTTCCAGTAGCGTCTGCCGCGCTTCCGCAAGTAGGCACATGCTGGCGTTCAGAAAACGTTGGCACAAAGCTGGCACGAGGTTGCGCGGGAATCTGTGCAGGCAACCTGATTTTCGAGGCACAAAGCTCTTCTACAGCAACGGCAACGGCAATTTTGAGGAACAAATCCGAACAGGACTTCGTTCAGCAATACGTCCTGACGTGAGCTTCGTCCGCGAATCGTTTCAAGGCATCAGCCGTAATCAATCATTAAAAAGCTTGGCCATTGCAGGGTGTGCCATGACCACCCTTCTTCAGACGACAGGCTACTAATTGCTGCACTTAAAGAACAAAGAGGATGGGTGGATGTGACATCGTCCCTGCAGTTGGTTCTGGAAACAGACATAGCTTTGCAAGCTCTATGCTAGACATCGAGAATGAGAAGCCCAACTGTAGCACATTGTAGCACGCCGGATGTGTTTGAAGAGTATTCTTATCGGCTATGAGTCAATGACAACATCCAAACCACAGTTGCGTGGTTCAGACTGATACCAGAGAAGGGCACGAATAAGCAGTACAAGTCACAGTTGGAAAGAGAAGCTACCAAAGGCTCTGACTCTGCCCCAAGCAGGCCGGGTCTGGCAACAGCAATGACCTGCCAGAGCAACGCAGCATTCCAAAGGCTGTCAAAGTCCTTGTGACTCAGCAAAAGGGTGCCATGCCTTGCCGTCGCCCGTCAGCTTAGCTGGCCTTCTGCGACCCAAGTTTGAGGAAGACAGCATGACCGGGTAGAGCCCCGAAAGAAAACCCCCAGCATCCTAGACTTTCTGCATGTCACCACCATGCAAGTACTTTACAAAACATCACCAGCAAGGTGCCGCCGTGGAACCGCGGATATGTCCACAGGCATGACTACCACACGGTTTTGCTCTGAAGCGCCCATCAGCCGTCGCTCTTGGGCCTGTTTTCCAAAGGGACGAGGAAGAATTCGGGAAAATTTCGGATGAAGGGTTCCCCTGCCCAAAATATCAGGATCCTTTGCAGGGCGGGCTTGGGAAAATCATGTGCAGACCCTGGCAAATTGCCCCCTCCACACGGCACCTGTTCTAATCTACGTGACATCCATGGCACCATCGGTCTGAAGATCCTACGCCGGCCTGAGAAGCTGCGGCATCATCGCAACCGTCTAGCCTAAAACATCTCTGAATATTGATGGCACGCAGGTCACAGTCAATTGCTCTGCTTGTGCAACTACCGCGGGCCACAATCACAAGTGACTTCAATAACGATTGTTGTATGCTCTGACATGGTGAGCACTATCATTGCCAGGCTTCTGTCGTCGAGCATCCTGCGAGCGGGACAGGTCTTCTCCAAGTCATTGAGGAGCTCAAGACAAATATTGGCTCTGCTCTCTCTCTCTAACCTTGAATCTTCTCAGTCTCCTACTTCAGAGCTTGCATGCGCTATTGCTCCGGTCCCTTGCGATGATAAGAAGACCCGTCACCACCAGGAGGATGCCAAACCAGTAGCCGAGCAGCCTCCCGGTGCAGTATGGCTGTACACTTGCTGTGCGTGTTCCGCTCACATGCACTGACACAGGCTGCAGGGGCTGGGTCTGATTGAAGGAAGCTCAGGAACATCGTGGCGTGTCCAAGCCTCCAGGCCACGAGCTGCGCCGTCTCTTTCAAGATTACAGCCGCTGAAACGCTTGTTGTCACGATGGAAGTTCCTTGAGCTATCCGAGTGTTGGTTTGGTGGTATAAAAAATTGTGAGAAACATCATGGCCTCCTGATCTGCTAACCCACTGTTTGCAGTAGTGAGGCCAACAAACGTTGGAATCATCATCCTTGCTTGCTCAAGGAGGCAATGGCCAGCCAGTTGCTATGTATGGCACAACACTGATGTCTGAAGACCAAAAAGCTCCTACATGCCATGCTAAGTTCCACCAGTATCCTGACAGTTTGTTGAGGCAGGAGTCATGGCTTCAAACTCAGCCAGGCCTTTATTCAGCAGCACCGCATTCATAGCAGCGCAAAATAGCATACCTGCAAAGCGAGCCCCCCAACTCAACGATGCAAAGGTTTTCGAGATGGCCAGAGCCTCCAAGGATAAAATAGGCAAGCGGGTCGTACCACATGTCCCAGTTGCCCTGGCCAAGGATCAAGGCTGTGGCCAAAAGGCTCGTGCTTGTGATACCAACCCTGATTGTCCCTAGAGGTCTAGTGCCATCGATGGCCTCATCGAAGGAGGTGTGCAGCACCGTGGCAGTGGAAGACATGAAATACCGCTGGCCTGCCTGCGGTCCAATCCCATTTCCTCCTTCCCTCCCTTTTCCTCTCTCTTCTTGCAATGGAAATGTTTATTATTTGAAAGGTTTCTGTTCGGATCCGGGCGGCAAGGAACCCCCCGGCCATCGCCAGGAGCAGCCCTCGCCGGGCCGGAGGCCGCGAACCTCTTGACAGCCACAAGAAGCTGAAGCCTTCTGCAGACCTTCTGTGGTGGCCAATCCCTTCCCCTGCGCCAAGGCTCCATTCTTGGGCGGCATGGTGAGGAACGCAAAGCAAGCTAGCGAGATGCACACCTGAAGGCCAAGCAGGCAAAGCAGGCAAAGCAGGCATCTGGTAGATTGCGTGGCCATCCTGTATACAGTAGTCAGGATAGGCAATACCGGCGGAGCTGAGCTGAGCTGAGATCCTCACAAGGATCCACCTGAAATAGCCACTTCTTCGCAGGAAACAGATACAGTTACAGAGCGCGTGCTGCTACGTCAGGCAGAGCTGCCCGAGGAATGATCGGCTAATGAACTTTCCCCGAAGATCCTCCATGGTCTCCTCAGATTATAAAGCACGAGGTCCCATGCAAAGCCAACAGACGCATGGCTACGTAGACTCCCAACCAGCCAGTGGACTTCGACATGGAAAGTTCACGTGCAGTTTGCACTTGCCTGCCGGGTTTCAGGTGGCTTGCTGTGAGGACCAAACATCGGCGCCGACACAGCTCCGGCGAAAACGAATCCTGACTACAAGGCTGCCAACTGCCGCAGGACAGTCCATGCCAAGAGGCATGCCCACGAATGCTCTGCCATGTGCATCCTGCTTGCTTTTTATTTGCATGGTTCATTGTTCCATCCGCCTGAGCCGAGCAATTTGCTGCTTGTGAGACTTTCGCCCAGCGTGTATGGCGCCAACCTCAACTTGAGCTCAGATTGCGTCGTGTTGCCTCGTACTTCCCCGCAGCAAGCCCTGGAAATAGGGTAGGTCCCGGGCAAAATGTTCCAAATGACGTCGAAACCGTCCAGTGGGGCTAGAAGCGACCTTGAAAAGCGGCGCGTTAGTTCACGTAAGGGAGCATGGCTGCAGCGCCTCGAATCCTGAAGCTCCTCACGCAGCAAACATAGGAACATACGGGGGAGCAGATCCGAGCGGCTGCGGGGCAAAGGCGTAGGCAGAGACCTCGCAAAGGGGTCCCACCGCCATGGCCATCGTGAGCCCCAGCAATCGAAACCTGGCCGCATTACAGCTTAGTAGCCTCTACGTAGGGACTGCAGCCACGTGAGACCCGAAGGACGTAGCAACTAATACAAGGATGAATTCGAATTCAATGCTTCACTGCTGCCTGAGCTTTCTCCTGGACTCCATGATTGCAGCATATCGCAGCAATTGAAGTCCAAAGATGATGATGAAGGTCTTGAACAATATGAGGGCCACACCTTCATTCTGCAGTTCACATGTAGCAAGACAAGCACGGTGCAACTCTCCTTTACTGACCCGGCTTCATGCTACTGCACATGTCAACCATCTTCACAGCAACCCAGCATGGCACATCTTTGCAATCATCCAAAACAAACGACTTCCTTTTGCAAAGCCTGGCTCTCCTTGCCCAAGACCCGCTCTGCTAGACCCAACTGCAAGTCACGAAATGCCAATTAGCACCATGCCGCCAATGACTGGCATCAACGCCGGTCCCCAGTTCCACCATTTCCTGACGCGGGCTGCCCAAACGCTCACCTCTCCAGCAATCCTTCTGCGCCTTCCGAGCGTTAGCGTCGGCAGCTCTGGGCGCGCCGGCATTGAGAAAGAATGCCGCTCCAAGAAGCTGGCGCCGAACATGTTTGATGAGTTTAGAGGGTGCTGAGCTGCTGGGCGGGTGCTGGGCGGGTGCGTCAGGATGTGTCAGGTGCTTTTGGCCTTGTGGGCCTGGGTGGCTGCGAGAGGCATCTCGTACTCTCAGGCTTTGTTGCTGGGAGCTATTACCTTGGGGAGTAAGAAGATGTCGGGTGAGGGCCTCGGCCTTGCGGTGACTCCGCAACTGCGTGGCTCTGCGTGGCTATTAGGGTTGGCATGTGTACCTGAACAAGTCTTGATCCATGCCCAGGCGTGAAGGGGCGCTTGGCAACAGGAAGCAACATCTAGAGTGGACGGAAGCAGCGCAAGCCCAACAAGCCGTGTGAGGGATCAAAAAAAATCAGTATCAAAATTTGAAATTCCTTAGGATCAAAAAATTAAGGATCAACAGATCAAACTTGAGGATTATGGTGCTTGAAAACTGTCAACTGGGAGGATCAAGAAGAACTTATGAGGATCAAAAAAGATCTGCTGGTGGAATCATGGGAAAAATGATATACGTGAAACTTGATGAAACTGAGGAGAATTAAGAAACTTATCGAAAAACTGCGAAAGTAATGACAGTTCATTTAAATTGTGGACAACTAGTGAAACATGAAGGAAAAATATGAAAACAATTGAAACATCAGGGAAAATAGTAGAAAATATGAAAGTCATGAAAAGTCTTGAAAAACGTCCAAATATGAGAAAGAATGAAAAATCATGAAAATCGGGAAATGAAGGAAAGCTTATAACATGGAAAATACTATGCAAACGACAAATGATGACGATAAATGCCAGAGTCCTAGGCCAAAGCCCGCCAAAAAAAAAAAGTGATTGAACATCATGAAAAATTGAATGCTGCTGAAAATAAGGACACATTCTGAAAAATTGGAGACTTGATGAGAGATGATGAAAGATGATGAAATATGATGAAACATGATGAAACATGATAAATATGATGAAAAATACCAGAACTTATGGACATTATGAATAATTAATGGAAAACCATGACAGATGCGGAAACATGATGAAAATTATGAAAAAAACGAGAAATGTCGAAACATGCTGAAGATTGTGAAACATGTAAATGAGGATTAACAAATAACCATGATGATGAAGAACTGCGATGAAGAATTATGAATCATTATCCAAAGCGATCAAACATGACGAAATATGATGAGATGCGATGAAAACATCATATGAAAATCATCCAAAAAATTAACAGAAATTGCGCAAGGAAGCATATAGCTTTGAGCCAAAATTGGATTCATAAGGCTTGTCGTCACCTGAGTCTAAGCTCCTGATTCGTAGGGATACGCTCCTGTGAAACTGGTACAGGGCTTCGGGTTTCATCAACTGCCTTGTTTTTAAAAAGCGAGTTCAGGGGCGTGCAGCCCCGCCATCTGCAAATGTGCTTACTTCCGACGTTTGATCTGGCTATGGTACCAGTAAGAAGCAATATTAATCAGAACGAGAACAGAACGAACAACATTTCAAAACCTCTGTATGCTGCCCTTGTACCTTTCGGAAAACAAAGAAATCCTTATGAAAATGAGAAGATTTGATGAAAAGTGAAAAATCACAAAGAATGCTTTCAAGAATGACAAATTTTGAAGTTAAGCCAGAATACGAAGAGGCTCCACCTCGCTGCTGGATTCAAGGGCAAAATTTGAGGATGCTCCTTGCAATAGCTCGAACTCATAAAGGGGCTCCAAAAAAATGAAGATCACAATTTAAGATTGCCCCGAGCAAGAGCACCATTTCCCCAATTTTGAATTTGCTCACTATTAATCCTTTCAACTATTTAATCTTGTTTTGATTCTTGTCTAATTTGTTGATCCCTGTCCCCAAGAAGGCTTCACACTTCATGGTACTGCAGCCTGCTATACGCTGCGTTTGCGATCTCCGCTCGCGCTTCCTTCCCCTCTTTTGTCGCAATCACACTTGGTAGTTTCCCAAAATAGGGGGACCCCAGTTTAGACCCCAAAAGACTACAACGCTCCATATAGCCCCCAATTTGGGGAAACCCTATACCCATATTTCCCGACATATATCTATATATATATATATATCGCGCTATCTATCCCCTATATAACCACCTTTTTAAAGGGTCTCTAATTTACCCGAAATAGTAGTATCCATTTTCATTTCCATTATCCCTATATATCCCCTTTTCAACCCCTACAGCCCCCAAGTTTGGGAATCCCTAGAACCTAAACCCTAAACCCTAGACCCCGTACATAACCCCTGTATAGCCCCCACATCCCCCTTTTTAAGGGTACCCCCCAAATTCGGGGAATCCCCCCACTTCAGGTTTGCTCAGGCAGGCCTGGCTTGGCCAAGCGCCTCTCATTGGGAGGAATGCCAAGCAGATTGCTTGGGTACTGCCCCCATGGTTTGGGGCTTACGGTTCAGGGTAACAGTCTAAATTAGGGGTCCTATTACGAAGCCATATATAACTTTGTTCTTCATAGTCTCCAACTATTACGAGTCGGAGCAGTACCCAACAGATTGTAGTAAGACGTCCTGGCAGAAGTCACACTAGGGCAGCCCACATGATGGTGGTTGCGAACTACTCTGAGTCCAAGCTACGTTATCAGTACCAGGCGTGGGGCTCCAGGATCCTCTAAAAAATGAAGCCACTGGCTTTTCCTCCGGAAATGCACGTGGCACTTGTGTACATGGTAAAGCTCTGCCAGAGATATTCTTCATTGCATCAGGAAGCAAGCCTGACACCCCCATCCACCAGAAGCTGCGCAGTCCAGTCAGCACAGCTAATCCTAACCCCTACCTTTCGAAGTGCTGCTGCTGGCCACTGTGCTGTGATAAGCAAAGAGGGCTGGTTGCAACCGGGCGTATGCGGTGGATGGGCAGCGCGTCAAGAGGTGCAGCTAACTCTGGCAGGTGACATCCTCACCTGAACGCGAACAAGCCAAGCCCAGATCTGCATTGGCGGGGATCCCTAGCCTTTGGGCATCGGCGCTCGATGCCAAAACAATTGGAGTTCACATGGCCTCACAGTGGCACCTGTAAAAGATACAGTGTGCCTGCAACTTCATCAAGTTACCAGGCACACTTGGGCTAGGCACCAACTAGAGATTGGTGTATGCCAGGCTGCGCCGGCATGGGGTGTTGAACTCTCACATTGCTTCTTGGCAGCCATCTCAGCCCAGAAACGCAGTGAAACTTATTTTTCAGCAGCGCAGTACCCCCAAGACCACTGCGCTGCGGACTGGCTGCGAAGTGAAAGCATGAATTGGAATTGAGGGAGATTGAGGCCAAAGTGAAAAATCGAAAATAGCTCAGAGTTGGTCCATCTGCGACTCTGGCACTGACCTTGGTGTCGTCTTGAATTGGCTCATTTTGAGAAACCTGTTTTGTTGCCCCTATTTAGAATCATGGACGGCTTGCATGAAGAAGAAAAACCGCTTGTCAATTCTGTGTGGAAAAGGGGCCACAATACACCGACAGAACTGTTTGTGCGGTTGTCATAAATGAGACATCGAGCTACATACTCAGACTCTGGCCGGCGCTAGCCGCAAGTTGCGAAGTCGACATCCCACTTCGTACCATCATCCTGGCCAGCAACGCATCTCTGGCCCTTCCGTCGGCCAAGCCTCAGGCCACAAACTGAGTCCTCGTATGGAACTACCGGGGGCATCTCTTTCGCCTGCGAGAAGTTGGAGTAGTCCTGTGCACGGTGGCCAGCAAAATGGCAAAGGCAAAGTAAAAGGATGCTCTTTATATTCCATCATATTCTTATGATCCTAGCTTCAACACCCTTCACTTCGTGAGAGAAAATGCCTGAGGCACCAATGGGATATGTGCGCTTGAGGAGGCTACAGCAGCATGTCCCGTCAAATTGTGAGGCAGTCTATTTGACCCCTCAAAAACAGTCTCACCATCAAAGCCACTGAGGCGTGTGCCTTTTGGCTTTTGACCATGGGTCGGTAGGGAGGCGTCATCCTCGGCTGAGGGCAGTCATCCTGCTAGGAATCGGAACACATCCAGATTCCTGCCTTAAGCTTGCAGCTAACACACCCTATGCTTTGGCATTTGCCGCACTATCGGACGACGAAAAATCTTTTGCACTTGCGCGCTGCTGATTTTGAAGGGTTGCCCAGCGGCATACCCAGGAGGTCCAGAAACTCACCCTAGGCTCATTTAAACACCGCTACTGAACTGTACAGACAACCCAACGCCTTCACTGGTGAAACGCTTAGGACGGTTTTGGTTCGAACACGCTAATTCGAAACTAACTCACTGGAGTCTCTAACCAAAGGTAAGGTAGAAGCTGCGTATCACCCCAAAACCGTTTTTCCACGGATGTTCTTTCCGGTGTACTGCGCAGGCTTTCTCTTCTCCAGGGCCTGTGGGGCGGTGACGCCGCCTTTCGCCTGCATTGCAGAAAGTCTGCCGGGCACCAGGGGGCTTTGGCGGTTTGTGGACTTAAGGCTTCACAGGATATGAGGATGCAAATGGCTTCTGAATAGGATGATCCCAGCTCAGGAAATGACGCTCCTTATGCGAACTCCATTAGGTCGCTGGCCATCTGCTTTTGCAGGTAGCGCATCTTCCGCTTCGTCATCTTCCGCTCCTTACTTTCCTAGCAGGCATCAAGGGCCGCAAAAGTGAGTAAGTGGTTTCAAAGCTCATCTTCTCTAGATGCCACCTCCAAGAACTCATCGAGATCACTGAAGTCCGACTCGGAGTCCTAGCGCACTGAGCGTTGTAGACAGTCAAAGGAAGGAACTCTATGTTCAGCGAAAACCCTACACCCAGCTCTTAGGAAGCTGGGACAGTCAAAAATGTCGTCCTCGTTGAGAATGCGACTCTGGGGCTCAACACCTGAGTGCACATAATACATCTTGTTGGATGACAAGTGTGGGATCTGATAAATGAAATAGTTGTGCCGCTCCTTGCGTTCCGTTTAGGTGCACCTTCTGAGAACACTCCGCAAGCATAGCCTGACGCAACTGCTAGGCTGATATATGTCCTGCGATTTCAGGCTTCTTGGGTTGCAGGCTGCCAGCTGCAGCTTGCCAGGATTCACGCTTTGGGATTGCGATCTTCTGCAGACCAGTTCACTTGGCTGGCTGCCCGGCGGAAGCTCGCAGTGAAGCAGCTGCCCAGTGCCTCGAACACGTAACAGAGCAGCAACGATTGAAATGGCCAAACACAGAGTGTTGCTACACCTGCCACTCGTTTTGCAGTTGCTGCCACCCATTCCTCTTCTAAAAGAGCCGGGATGGGCCAGTTGTATATTGATCGTAGATTTCTAGAATCAACATGGCTGCATGCAGCTCTTCTTCTTCTACGAATATAGGCCTCATGTGATCCTTAGGACCTCAACAACTACGGCCTACTGTAGTGCTTTCCAGGATTGCCGGAGATCATCCATGACAGCCATCCGAATTTCATGTAAAAAGACTCGCAGGGACCTGTGGGGAGTTGACCTCTCTTTTCAGCTCTCAGATTTCAGTCTACTGCCGCTGGCATCCATATTACTAACCATTCTACTAGCAGCAACATGAGCAAGAAACCCACAAGGCATCCCACAATTAAGTAAAAGGAAGTAAGGTGCGCTATGTGTGGAAGCCCTCTGCCCAGGCACAGAAGTCGCGGAGCACCCTCCGCGCTGCCCAGGTTTCATCGGGAACGCCAACTCTGAGGAAGTGGTGCCGATGCGTGGCTAGACCGCAGAGCACCTCCCCAGCGCGAAGCCGCGAAGCCAGCAGCAAAACCGCAACAAAACTACGACTGCACGCTAGCCTGGTGCGCCATCTCGTCCGAGGCCTCACCCACGCCGCGGCGAATCGCCCCATCCCGGACCTGTCACTGACAGCGTCCATTTCTTGCGGACCAGACAACCACTTGCATCCAGTTCTTAGTCTTTAGCTTGGCTGCCAAGCAACCTCCGAGGCGCTCACACCATACCTGATCAGGGGCCACCAGATTTTACTTTGCCCCTGTCCAACGCTCAGGATTCTGGAATGAACTGGGCAATTTGCGAGTGTACCAAATCGTCTCCCATGTTTGCTTCAAAAGGGGGAATTGGGGTTTCTGACTTCGGAAAATGTAGGTAGGTGATCGTTCTTGGGCTAGCTCGCTGCTCCTTTTTCGTTGAGCCTCTTCAGGATAGGCTCGGGGCCAATCTTGCCCACGATGACCCGGATGGGGTCGATGAAATCTCGAAGCTCGTCTAGAGGAACGGTTCCATTAATGACCAGATGGGACCTGGTGGCCACCACTGACGGGAAGACCAGTCCCGGGCAGTCGCACAAAGTTATGTTGGAATCGCTTAGCTCCAGTGTCTGCAGGTGCTTTGTCTTGCCAGGAGTGCGGCTCATCGAGACCTTCTTTGCACCGAAGAGAGCATTGATTACGGAGCTCTTTCCAACGTTTGGATAACCCACGAAGCCGACAACACCTCTTCTTGAGGCAGTCGCAGGTGGCATGCGAGACTGCAACTCGTCCAAAAGACGAGCACAGTCCGCTACGCCGCTCATTCCATCGAGAGGGCCGTGAGGCGGCAGGCGGACGGAGCCTGAGCTCTCCTCCATGTGCTGTGGCTCATCCTGGAACTTCTCCCCGTCGCTGTCCAGATCATCACCTTCCTCCTCATCTTCCTCGTCCTCTGGCTCTGGGGCCCTTGCTGAGGTGGGGACCCGCTGCTGCTTGTGAAGCTCTCGCAACGCTGAGAAGAAAATTGTCTCGACACCTTTGTCTGTCCAGTAGGACGTCCACTGCTCACGCTGCTGCGCGGTCAGGAAGTCTGCCTGTGTGCTCGCCACTTGTACACACTATACTACCTTTGCAGGTGACATTCTGTCTTCACGTGCCTTATTGAGGAGGAGGAGGTGGCGCTTGTTCGGAAACTGCTCGATATAGCGTTCAAGATCTTTACATCTATAGAACTCCGGATCTCGGGCATCCAAGATCTGGACGAGGACCTGTCGGAGAAGCAGCAATACACAACTTGACCCTAAGTCCGGACCTAGGAACTAGGTGACTAGAATTTGCAAGTCCAGCCACAACCTTCCAAGCCAACTGAGACCGGGTTAGCTTAGAGTTCGGCTGCATCTGTGAGAAACTATAACCCTAACATTAACCCAATGGGCCCCAAACCCGAAACCCTTGACCCCAAATAGTAGTTTCCATTTTCTTTTCCATTATCCCAACGAAGAAGTGTGAGATCCCACAAACACCAAGGCCAAAGGCACATCGCTTCGCTCAACACAGCGCCAGAGCTGCCGCCAGAAGTCCAGGTTGCGTTCGTAGGGCGTGAGGACCATGCAATCCTCAAGGTTCCTAGACTCTCAGACGCAGGAGCAGTGTAGCTCAAGTTGTGGGGCGTAACGTGGTGACAGAACGGAAGAACCAAAACCCTAGGCCAGTCTTTCCCCACGTCCTCTTCCTCCAGCTTTGCAAGCCCTCGCCTGATCAGTTTCAATCACCCTTTGCATCATGCATCCTGGCAGTAGTTACCCAGCCAGGCTGACTAGTTGGAGATTAGCGCATCGAGCTGGGATGTAGATTCCATAAAGTACGCCAAGAGCACAAAGTGTCAAATGTTACAACGCCTCCTACGGCAGCACTGCGCGGCCTCCACTCGAGAAAGGCCTGGCCCTCAGCCGCAGCGAGTTCTTCTGCAGAGGAGGCCTCCCACCAAGTTCGACAGCAGTCCGGTCTACAACTCTTTGTGTAGCCTTCAAGCCCGTCACTGTGTGGGAACGATTCCAACGGCAACTCCTCAAGTGGACTCAATGTAAGAAACCGCCTGTCTACACCAGCACTGCAAACTGAAAATCAAGAAAGCTAGGGTTCGTTATTTGTTTCTTTGATGTCCAGGACCTTCTGGTTGAAAACTGCTCGTCACGCTTCACTTTCGTGGTTTCATGCGTTCTGCAAACTACTTGCGCTGGCACGTCCACGTGCATGGCCGAAGCTGGCAGCAAGATAACGCGATGAAGATCGGAGACTCGATATAGATGTACATGACCAAGAGCACATGCGGTCAGCACCAATCGCTGATTCGTTCACATCCGCAAGCCAAAGCAAAGCGCCGCTACAATCGGAGTTGCTGTCGCTTCCCCCTATCCACCTATCCCACGCGCGTCCAAACTTGTCAGGTAAGGTTTTTCGGTTCAATTAGTGTTTGTGTTTGCATTGGCGGCCTCGGGTTCCAGGTCTTGGGGTTCATTCCTGCTGTACTTCGATGCGCGCCACCACATCACAAAGCAGTGTTATGTCTCCACGAGTGCATACTTTCCCGAGGATGAAACTATCACCACCGGGATTTGATCCATGACAGTGCATAAGAGGCTGAGGCCGACCATCAAAAGAAGAGAAAAGTACAGGAATGCCAGGTCCATGAGAGAAAGCAAGTGAAAGGAAACAACAGGCAAGGAGCACAAATGATGTGAGCCTGCGCAGTGATAGCTAGTTCCGCATCACATTTTTTCATGCCTGGAAACTCTTGCACTCAAGGCCCAAATTCATAAATTGCGAACTCTAAAAAAAGGCTTTCGTCGCAAAGGGATTTGCCAACTGATGCTATCATGCCGACTTATGCAAACTCCAGCACCAGGGGGTCCACGAATATGAGCAACTCGCAATACTGACCAACCAACCTCATCGCTGCTACAACTTAAAAGAACGGTTCTAAATTCTTTTTCGCAAATCATGGGGAAAAGGAGGATCTAGCAAGAAGACGACGACGATGAGATGCTGGCTGAATGACAGTGAAGTTTCAGAAAGAAACACGCTCGGGGTAAAGTCTCGAATAAGGATCTGTTGCCTGTAATTGTAATCTCCACTTACTCCACTTCTGGCAACACCTGCAAGATGTTGTACGGCCGAATGAAAGGCCTCCTGCCAGGGTGGCCGCCATGGAATCGGCACCACCACTTTCTTGGCTTCAGCCTCTTTTTCCTTATCTGCGGCAGGGGGCTTGAAACCTGATCTAGGGATACTCCAAAGCTTGGAATGAAGCAAACTGAAAAAGGCTGGTCATCACGGATATGGCGAGGGCTCATGAGTTAGCTTTGCGGACGCTACTAATCTAAGGCCATCCAATATTTGCACCCATTGCGTACTTAAAAGCTTTTAACACTCGCTCACCTAGCGAAAAACGCAAGACCGACATCCGAGTCTCTCGTGTGGCAGCAGGGTCCATTGAGGCCCGGTAGATTATTTCCTCAGATGCTGTGTTGCAACCAGCCAGCACCTCGCTGCTCAGTGCACCCTGTGCTGTCCGCGGCGCTGTTGTGCACTCGACAGCTTGACCTGATGAGCTGTCAGGTCACGTTAAACCCCCACAGCTCGAGCACAAGTACACCCTCATATGGTAGCGTGGGCTTGGCGAGTTCAACACGGGATCTCTGTTTCTGAAGCGGCATTACCGGATTTGGCCACAAGGGATCCGGCCTCTCATGGCATGGAAGTCGGCCTTTGCGAGCCTTGGTCCAAATGGCAACTGGTTCGCAATCACACACAGAGTCGTTGCGCCCACTGCGTACCAGATGCTCCGCTTTGGCAATGAAGTCATCCAGCGAGGTTTGCTCGAGCACGGATCGGTTTGCTTGGGCTTCAGGGACACCGCTGGCCTTGTAGCCCTGCTCGGCGCGCTTCCGGCGATCGTTGGCCAACGAGTTCCCCAGGCCAGCGCCTGACTTCTTGCGCGTCATGTCGGCGGAGGCAGGCAAGGGAATCTTGAGCCCGAGCGTCTGCTTGCAGACTTCCATACTCCCAAAACATGCATGGCTTCACAAGCAGCGTGCGGACTGAGGTCTTTCTCCACGTCTCTAAGGCCACCGCTTCAAAGTCTCAAATGCCGTCCAGTCAAAGCCCTTGTAGAAGGGATGCCTGGGCTGAAAGATGGCCTCAAGGCCCTTTTAAGTCTCAAGCACACCTCCACATGAAACATCAGAAACTGCCAGAGCAATCCTGCACAGTTGCAATTAAACTTCAAGCTCTGCAGCGAACATCCACTGTGACAAAAAAGGCGAATCCATGTCCATGTCTCAAAACAGGTCCAGCGGCGACTTGATGTTTCTGCTGCCTCCCTTCTTCATGGGAAGCCTTTCCGAGGGCTCGTGCTTGCACAGGCTTTTGACCAAGTCCTGCAAGCAGTCGCGGCACAAGCTTGGCGCAGGAGCCGGTCTGGTGGCATCCCTGGGACAAGGGCACCCTCGGGCCTACAACCCATCGCCCATTGCCTGTTTACTGAGATAAGCAAGGGCTTTGAAAGAATAAAGACGTGCGCAAGAAAGTGTAAGCCTAAAAGCCGCTTTGCTCGGCGGCAGCTTCAAAAGAAGGAAAGAACAAAGCCACCGCCTAGTTAGCTTGCAACAGCACAGCGTGTGCTGCGAGAGAAATACTGTCGCGTTCGAACGAAAAGCTATATTGCAAGTGACCAAGTGACCGGTCAGTCCATCAATGCCCCAAGCCCGGTCGCAGCTCCTCGGCTGAGCCCTTGCACTTGGGCGGGAAGGCCACCTGGTGCCAGATTAACTGCCTAGGGATTTGCTTGAGATCCTGGATCTGCCAAAGAATTCCCTCGTGCAAACGTCCTAAGCCCCAAGAAGCATCTCGTTCGCGACAGCGCTCAAAAAGCAGAGCTGGCCTTCGGGATGCCCCGCATGATTTTTTGATACGTCCTCAGAAGTCCGGCTGCAGTGCATGGGGTCAAGAACAGACCTTTTCTAAGCTCACAGCTGCATGGGATATGAAGACTCAAACGGCGGGTGACCGCCTCATGGCTTCAACGCAGGTAGGGGAGAGCTTGATGGGATCTGCCAAAGGAAGGCATGCGCGTGCAGGTGATGATGTCAGCAAGAGACTTCCCTTCATATTTCCACTACTCTAGGGAGATGTTTGCACTGGAAACTAGCCCTGTGCTGAGAGCATCACTCAACAGCTCGAACAGGAAGATGCCCAGCGTCCACCAGTCCACTGCGACCGTGTGACCTGGAAGAAGCCATGGGTCAAGGCCCGGGATTCTCGGGATTCGGCTTTAGGTCGGCACCTGTAGATGCGATCAACTCCGGTGCGAAATAGTCTGGTGTCCCACAGGCTGTGTAGGTCTTGCCGACGCAAATCTGGCAAAATGACAACTCTCACAAGCGAACATGGCACCGCTTACACAACTGACATTGCTTGGACGCCGCGGCAGCGCCTTTGCCAAGCCCATATCTGTGAGCTTTACGCAACCTTTGTCATTGAGAAGGAGGTTCTCCTGATGCTGCAAGAACATTCGTTTGTTGCAGATGTCTGCGTTATTAAGCATCGCTAGCGTTCGTGCACGAGACGGTGCAGACACTCCAATGTTTTCTTCCCAGGCTGCAGATCAGCCCCATGCTGCCTTGCTTAGGCAGCTTGATTCACGGGCTGTCTGGCACATGGCCTTCAGGAATCTGCGCATGCAGCTGCAATGGTCGAACTTTCAGCAAAGGCATCAACTCGTCGCGCGACTTTCCCAAAGTGGAAACACCATTCATGTCCATGAGCACAGCACCAGACACCAAGCCTGCTTTCTCGGCCTCGCCCCCTTGAACAACGCTTCCCACACACGGCCTCTCAGCTTCCCAAACAATCTCGAAGCCCAGCTTCTTTACATGCTCATCAAAATACAAATGGAGACTGCAAGGGTCATGGGACTCGGAGTCAATTTCTTCCTGTTCCATAGGTTCGACAGACAGTGTCTTCAGTGCATCCTTAGGGGATGTGTAGTCAACAGAAGCCTCCAGTCCAGTTTCCAAGACACTGTCCATGGCAGAAGCTGCAATTGCCTCACGAGCCTGACTTCCTGTGCTGGATTCACGCGTGTGACCAGTCCGTGAGCTTGGCCTTGAGCTGGGCGTGGCTGCGAGCTCCGGTTGAGGCAAGGCTTCTTGGAGCTCCACGTCTTGCGACCGGAGATTTGCAGGAGAGCCGCTTAGCTCACGCTGAGATGTGGCCTTGCGGGCGGCGATGGCCCAGACCGGCTTCGCCTCATCATGCCCGCTCTGCCCGCTTTGCCCGCTTCGAAGTGGTTTTGCCACCTGGCCAATTCTCTCCGTGGCAGCGAGCCACGCACGGCTAAAGTCGTCAGCAACACTACGCAGATGGCTTGCACACCTCTCATCAAGCTGGTGCAAGGAGCGGCGGAACTGCTGCATGCATTGCTCCTTACTTCGCTTTACAGCGGCTTGTTGGTCCATCTTGTTCGCCAAGTCTTCCACAACAGCCGTTTCCATAGCTGCCATCTCCTCCAGGCGGGTCTGCGGCCGGAAGAACCAACTACTTCTGTTTTCCTGGCGTGCGATCGCCTGCAGTTCCGAGGATGCACGCTCTTTCTTGCTCAATGTGTCCGTGACAGCTCGGGAGCAGAGCACATCCTCCAAGTAGCTAAGCAGCTGACAGAAGATACAATGCTACACATCAAACGAACAAAGCTTGCCAAAGCTGTCCTGCTGATCCAACTCCAAGAGCTTAAGCCGCTCCTCTACACACTCCTCCTGCACACTTTGCGGTAGCATGTACTGTTGGCATGCCCTGTGTATAAAACAGTCACATTGGTTGGTGCAGGCTCTGCAAGCCTTCAAGCTGTTGGAGAGGGCGTCCAAAGGTGCCAGCACTTGGGTGGAGAGTTTTGAAGCCAGGTCAGCCAGAGCATGTCCTATATCCTTAAAGGCATCGATCATATCCTTTGTGGCGAGAGCCGAGGGAGGATCTTTGTCCTCAAGCTGTCGATGAAACGTGGCGTCTGATGCGATACTCCTCGTGCTCCGCAACAGGCCCCCAGCAGCTGCCTGGATTGACTTGGAAGCCACGCGGGTGGCATGCATCAAGGGCGCCAAGCTTGTTACTCGGGCAACAAGGAGGGCATCTGCTGAAGCTGCATCTTGCAGTTCCCTGGCACTGTACGAGCCCTGCCGCTGAGTGCTGGATCTTGGCTTTGGCCGGGCCGCCCGGATCTTCTTTGTGAGCTCCTCGTCGAGCCCAGCCAGCGCCATCTCAAATGTCTATGATGTTTACTGCCAGCGCCTACTTTACTGAAATCGTGGGGTGACAAATCTTACTGAAGCCCTTGGTCAAAACATGTTTAGCTCGACCTGGTTCAGCCGAAAGAGCGTGACAGTCCAAAAGAACATGACAACTTGTGTTCCAAGGCTTCGGGTGCTACATCGAAGCTTCCATTGGCTAGCATTAGCTCTCGTCTCACTCGGTCACATCTGATCTGCTCTGGCAGCAGATTTGTAAGAACATACTCCGAAGGCAACCCGTGGCTTAGATGGTCTCCGGCTTCAGATCGCGATAAATGATCTTCTTTCCTGAGCTTCCAGCTTCCAAACGTCTGCAAGCCAAGCTAAGAAACGAGTTCATTGACAGAATGTGTAAGGCATCCTCACATTTTCTGCAGAAAGCTTTAAGCATATTGTTATGGTTCAGACGGTTTTATCGCTCACCGGGGCCCGTGTGCTTGAAGTCCTGCTTGTAATCATTGCAGCTCTGAATCCATGCAAGTGGTCGAAGGCGCAGACAACCCCAGCAACATAGAACTTGGCAAAGTTGTCCTGCAGAGGCAGCTACCACGCGACTCTGTCTCCCAGAAGCTTCCACATGCATCCGCACGCTTCATCTTACCGGCAAGCCACAAACAGCAGGATTCTTTTTTGTCTGCAGAGCACCAGCGGCCACTTTGGCCAGGCCGGTGAATCGGGGCTCCGTGGCTTGGCCTTCGGAGCCCAAAGCCTATCTAAATACTATGGAGCAGACATCCACAAATCCTTGCTTGCGTATGCGTCACGCCTCACACTCATCGCGTGGGAAAGCCTTTGTCAAAGCGCTTGCGCACCCCTTAGATCTGTTGGGCACCTCTCCTTGGTAGGCGTTTCGGACAAGTGGCCCGGCTTAGTCCTCAGAGAGCGCCTCGAGGCCCACAGCCTTCTTGGAGCTTGCTTTCCTGCCCCTCAGATCATTCGTCTGCTTGTGGACTATGTAAGGCTCTTGCCTTCCCGATGCTCTGCCGCCCAGCGGCCGCTGCGACCCGGAGGAGGTTGGTGGCATCTCCAGGCCCAGGGCCAAGCGCCCCTCAGAGACGTCCTTCTTCTCCTTGCCCTGTGGTACAGCTTAGGCACATAGCTGCTACTTGCTCAAGTTTCAGCTGCCAGTACCACACCGAAAATCCGATTCCCATTCTTGGGCGCATGCTGCTACTACATCAATCAATCCCAACACTTCAGCAAAGTGAGCTTGGCACTGAAAGCATGGAGGAAGTCCTCGGATGCAGTCACCCCGCTCTGTGAAGCCCGACTGCAGAAATTGACATCTGGAGCTTTCGTCACGAAATAATGTAAGCTCAAGCGGAGTGAGCCAGGTCAGAGCAGCAACCAGGCATACTGCACCTGCTGCTGGGCTTCAGCTTTGGACCCACAAATGATGCGAAGAGCTCCATGATCTCTACATCCTCGTCGTCGAAGTACTCCAGCTGCCCGTCATACGCGACCTGCCACATGTACAGCAAACAAAACACCAGGGGAGCTTCCCAGAAAGGCGATGAAAGTCTGCGCCTTGTTGATCATCTGCATGACACCCACCACCTGCGAGGCCTTGGACCCATTTTCTGTGATGATCGGCACCGCCAAAATACTGCGGGTCCTGTAGCCTGCAGGGCAAGAACGTGAACGTATCTGGTGAAAAAGTTTACTACTCCTGCCAGGCTTAATTGCTTAAAGAATCCTCAAGAATCACCCTTCCCGCCTGTTTGAATGTCCACCTGCTTGTTAAAGCGTTCATCCGCATATGCGTCCTCAACTTAATAAGGTTCTGGCGAATCTTTGGTTCTTCTGAGGGCTGAACACGTGGAACCAGAACATGGTGCAAAAAAGCGTACAGCACTGTACAGCTGACACATGGGCCACCCCACAGAATGCCCGATCTGCAGTTCACTCTTTCCCTACTGTGAAACTTCCAGCTTGCAAAAGACCACCCTTCTTTCTGTTTTGCCACTTGGACTCAGGGATGTTGATGACTTTCCCCTGGCAGCAGCATTCCCCCGCGATGCCTTGACAAGCTGTGAAGACCAATCTTGAGTACTATTGAGGTCTCCATTCAAAAGATCATGCACTGAAGCAATGCGCCTTTGTCCTTTGGGACGCGGATCTCTGCCCCAGTGTCCGTTGACACAGACCAGAGCTGCTGCGCCGCTTCGTCAAGGAGAAAAACGCTAGACCTCATGGCTGCTACTCAACAACGCAACGGTACGGCTCAGCAACTCTGCAGCGGCCTCTGCGCACTGCAGACCTTGCTCCTTAGAACCGGGAGCTGCTGCTTTGTCCACCGCAGCAGTCTGGTCAGCACACAGGCGGCCAGGACACGCATGCATGGTGACTGTGAGGAGGAGAGACTGAGGGCCCAAGTCCTGCTACAGCAACCCGTCAGCATTTGTCATCACAGCACTGACTGTACCAGGACACGCAGTTCAGTTGTTGAAGCAGTTGCCATGTCCACGGAATCCTGGGACATGCTCTGGATGGTGTTCAGAAGGCCGGTGGCGCGCTCACTGCAATTTATCGCCTTCCATTCCCCATTGACGCGATTTGACGCATCAAACGGGTGGTTTGCGGTCTTACTTGAAAGCTGCAACGCTTAATCTAACACGAACACCAACACATGTACCCCAGGTGGCTGTTGTGGACTTGTCCGCCATACATCCCGGAGGAATGCGATAAGAAACTGAAGGCGGTGTGGACACAATCTGCCCCGGACACAGCAACTCTGAATTCGAGCATTCAAGAAACTAACTCCAAATATTCATCAGTCTCAGAAAGTTGACCATGTGGGGTGCTAGGCCTTACAGTGTTTCATTTGCAAGTGGCTTTGTTGGGGCTGAGGTGCTCTGAATGCTCTATTGCAAAGTTCTCTACTTTGAAGAAAACGCCTACACAAAGGCATCTGACCAAAGCCATGGAATGCAACTGGGGTATAACGAAGACGTCGCAATGCATCTGAATTGTGTACATCCAGCAAAACGATCAGAAACCACAAGTCAAGCTGCTACAGTTTCTATGCGCAAGGTTGCTTGCAATAGGCAGCCAGATGGGCACCCGCCTCGCGATACACCTCTGCATTTTGGATTGCAATGGCTATATGCTCGGCAAGATGCCAGAGCATTCGCCTGGGATTGGAACTCTTGGACTATCAGACATTTCAGATCCAGAAAGTCATCCTGATATCTGGCCTTCAGCTTCTAGCAGTTGCTGGCAAGGTGCTCATCTTGCCTAGAGAAGGGCAAGGCGAGCTTTCCTTTGGGCTGCCCCGGCTCGGACACGACGTCGCTTGGCATCTTGTTGATGGCCTGTCAGCTTTTTGGTCTCCGATCGCAAGTAGATAGGTAAAGCACAAGATCAGCGCCCCACATCCAAAAGACCCACCTGGATGACTCCGGTGCATTGACCCTCAAAGTCCACAATAGGAACCTGGTCTGAAAGGCGCCAAATGAAGCGAATGCGGGTTTGCCTTTCGTGCAGCAAAGCTTTTGCAAGATGCAGGCGCATCTCAAGCCGCTGGTAGTTTTTGCAAAGAGGTCCAGCAACAGCGTAGCAGGAGTCAAGAAGGCAGACCAACAACAACTTTCACTCTTTGCAGAGCACAGGTCACAAGGTGAAGAAGACCTCCGCCAACTTTTGCATATGCATCCGTGGAACCACCACCATGCTTCTGGTATAGTAGCCCGTCTCCTTGTCGAATGACTGGTCGAAACGGCTATCCTGAAAGATCTTGCTGTCAAGCTGCATCAAGAAATACACGTCCAACATACTGCAGCAAGGCATGCCGGTGCAGCGTAAAAAAAAAAAAGCTGGATGAAGAAACGCTGTTTTGCAACATTTGGCATACGGGTTGCATCCAGTGAAGCTGGTTCCATTAGTGGTGTGAAACCTTGTAGGGTACAAAGCCCTGGCCGGCCTAGGGTCTGGCCTGGGAAAGCACCCCAGAAAATCGAAGCGAGCAAAAACGACAGCAATTCTTGGCGGGTTTTCACAGCATCTTGATGAAGAGTGTTTAACGTGAAAACACATCCAGCTTAGGGATGCAGTAACCTGCTGCCTAAGCCTGCCTCAAGCTACGCAATCGCGCATTTGGCAGACAGCTTGATCGCTGGCATGCAAGCTCATCACAGTTTCCTCAGGCTCCTCAGCCTCGAGCACATCAAACTCCACTTCCAGATTAGCATTGTTCAAGCTGACTCGGGAGCTACTGCTGGAAAGGTCAAGGGCATGTCCATCCAAATCAGCCACGAGCTCACTAATCTGAAGGGATTCATCTGCCTCAATCGATGGCGACTCCGACTCCAGGCCGCTGTTTGATCGTGATTTGGATGCATTACGAACATATTCATGCACGGCTTCAATGCGGGAACCAAAGTACTCAGAAGGGAAGAAATCTTCCTGACGTTCAACTATCATGTTGCCCAGGCGCAGCAAGCTCTGTACGTGGTGTCCCGGTCGCTTCTGGCTGCGAAGCCAGAGCAGCTGCACAAGCATGGTCCCATAGAGCCCTGTCAGAGCCTGGACCACCCGGAGCTTGTCACAGGGGACTTCCTCGCCGGTCCGGGTTCGATGCAAGCGCGCACAGCAATCCAACTGACCTTCATACACCTGGAGTAGATCCACATATTCGTCTCGCATGCCATCCTTGTCCATGAACAACAGCGGCTGCAGTCCATCCGAACCAGCGAAGTAGACTCGCTGTTTGCAATTGCCATCTGGTTCCATGTCCCAACTTAATGTGCGCATCATACTCTTTGTCGCAAGGAAGCCACGTTGAGAATCTTCTGCATGGTAGTGACTTATGGCACTCAGCACCGCACAAAACACTTCCACCCTACACCAAAACCTCCTGGAATATGTCGCAAAACTGCAGAGATTGTTTGTGTCTGAGTGCAACACCCGAGGAGCTACAATGATAAATGCCGAACTTGCCGCAACATAAGCCGGCAAAGAGTTGATAGCCAGTTGCTGCTGCTCGGCCGAGCATTGGGGAATGCTGCCAAAATCAACCCAGACAAAAATGTTATCGATGGTCAAACTTTTAACGCGCATTAGTGCCTGGATGGCACGCACCATCTCGTGGAATTGGTGGCCATCTGGATCTGGGGTCTCAGAGGACAGCCACTGGTGCGAGAAGAAAATTATGCAGCCATGCCTGCGAAGCTTTGCAGCCGCCTTCGGCGTGTCTAACATTATCAAATACTTCTTGTCCCGCAAGTATTCGTGTGACACCAGCTTGCCCAACTGTAGGAACTCGTGTGCTCGGACTAGGGCCATGGGAAACTGCATGACCTTGGACTTTTTCACAACTCTGCGAGCATCTTGAACGAAGTTGCTATACTCCAGCTCCTTCTCCACGGCATGCTTGTCCCGAACTCTGATGACTTCCAGGTAGAAAGCATTTCCAGTCATTAAGAGCACATCACAGAACAAGGACACAATAACGGTCGCTTCTGCGTGCACATCAACTGGCTGAGATGGAAAGAGGCTCCAGGTCACACCTACGGCATGAGCATGGTGTGATACAGGCGTCATTCCGACGTAGTGTACTGTACTTGCCAGGATTGCAACTGAGAGGGCTCCTGCACAACGCCACGCAGTAGAGTTGGGGAGGGCTGCCATAATTGCTATGATTGCACTGCAGCATGCGAAACACACAGCAGCACTGAAGATGACCATTCCGACATTGTAGTGGACAATGAACTGCCCCCGCTCAGCTAGTAAACCCAAGTAATGCATAGATCCAACGCCTACCGAAAGCAAGGTTGCCGACAGCGGAAATCGAACCAAACCCAGTCTTGCGTTGGCAGCTTGACCCATGGACACATGAATCGCCAGACTTGCGAACATCCAAGGCAAAATCGCAGACAACAACGTGAGCCCCAGGTCGAAACTCGGAGATAAGTGTGTGTCTGTGTCCAGGTTTTCGGAGCATAGGGAGACGGATCGCATGCCCACGAAGTGCATACACCACACTGTCGAAATCCCGAGTCCCAAGCCACATTGAAAGACCATTACAACATACCAGGCTGAGTTTCGCACCACGCGGATGTATGAGGAGGTGGTCAACGATGCAAATGCCCCGACCACTGCGACCATCACAGAAAGGAGCACCAAGATGCCGTTGAAGTGCATGAAAAATGGCTCACCCTGCGTAATGCCTTCAGGAAGAACTGGCCACAGCTTTCGAGACCGGTCATGTACTAGATCCAAAGCTGCCCCACGCTTCTTCGAAGCCAGGGCTGCCATGAAAATGCCAATAACAAAAAGGCAACTTGCCCCGATCCAACAGGATCTCACAATTTCAAGGTTGCAGGCGCGCCAGTGGTCGCCCTGTCTGTCGACTGAACGCTGCAGTCGGTGCAACCATGACAGGAGACTAAATCTCAAAGTTAGCTTCTTACAAAATGGAACGGAGTTGTGACTTTGGATGCTCTACGCTGTATGGACAGATATCAGCCTGTGCACGGGTGACCCTTTCTGCAAGCCTTAAGCCAAGAATTGCACGTCATGTCAAGCACATTCGCAGGCAAGCAGTTTTTATGCTGCCTGCGCCATAGTTTCACGCAACATGAAATCCGGTCAGAAATCACACCAACAAGCACGGAGTACTGTGTACGCTCCTGGTAGCAGTTGGGGATGTTGACCGGTTCCTGGGTTTGGAAGACCTTGCCCGCAATGCCCTGGCCGACCCTGGCGCAGATGTATTCCATATGTACAATGAAGATCTTGACCGTCAAGCTCAAATCCAATAGGACTATGCACAGAAAGCCCAACTTGCCAGGATGGCTTCACCATAATGGGTGCGTCAGAGCTGGAATCATACAGCCTTAGCATCTGCATCTTCCTGTCCAGCACCTTGGAGCATGGGCACCAAGAGTTGTCGGCAACAGCTCAGGCTTTGTTGCTCCTTGCATGGCTGCACATGCGCTGTGCCTCGTTGCTGTCCTTTAGACTTAGATCATGCAAATGGACAACAGTCGTGTGGCCCGAGTGTCGCACGAAGAGAGACACAGCGTCGCAGCTCAAGAGCTCCAGTGTCTCAGAGATCGTGATGTCTTAGCGGCATCTGCCCCGAATGCAAACCACTCTCAGCTTCAGTCACACTCAGGCCTGCAGTATGATCGACAAAAGGACGAGTCGCACAAAAAAAACTGATCAGAAACTCGACGACAATCATTAAGCATGTGGTCGGGATAAGCCGGAAACATCAGCTAAGCGGCTGATGGTCTCTTGCGGGATAATTTTGCCTGTAATCCTGCGCGACACCATAAACAGCCTCTGCAGGTCCGCGTCCGAGAGATCACCACCATCGGATTCGATGTCCTGCTAGACAGCTGGTAAGCGCAGAGCTATGCAATCACCACGTTCACTATGGTTGTGAGGCGGCTCGCCACAAACAACAGGACTACTCTATTATGATTTGCGTGCTAGGATTGTAAGATCAACTGGGTTATCCTGACTTTTAGCATGTTTTCTATCATGCATTTGCCTTTCCAGACTCGCCTCATCATTTATTTAACAGTTATTCATTGGTCCAGATTCGAAACATCATTATCTATCATTTACTTAGGCTTCCACTGCTCATCCTTCCAAACTACGGCCCCGCTTGACCTAGATGTGCAATGCTTGCCAAATCTACCTTCGCGAATGTTATTTCAGTTGTAATAATCAATGCTCTTGTACGAATAGTTGCAGTGGCAGTAAACATGGCAGTAGAAGTAGCAGCCGCAACCGTAGCCGTAGCTGTAATAGTGGCAGGTCTCCAGTGATAGTAGAAGTTGTTATTGGCTGCGCCGGAGCCTCAACGCGCAAAACACTGCATACTTGGCCGACCTCTCCGGATGTGGCCTGCGCGGCACGAGCCGCACATTCGATGCATTTTGAGGGCCCAAAAAGCTGCTTTTGCCACGCATAGCGTTTTTCACTCCGGGAAATGGAGCAGCCAGGGAGATCAAGGCTCTGATCCATTTTTATCATCGCCCCATTAGTCCAAGGTCGTCCTATTCGTTCCAAGCTACACCCGATCTTTGATTATCGCCCGATCACTCCCGATCACCAGCTTGCCCTCGACCCAGCAAGAATCTCAACGAGAATCGTCTTCATGTCCGAGCGCATCCAATAAGCACCCTCCCCGGTACAACCAGCAAGAAGGCGCCTTCGATTTTTCGTCCGCACGCCCCTCCTCCTTTGTCGTCAAGCCCACCCCGTAGTAGTAACAGCAGTCATAGCAGTGGCATCAGTATTAGCAGTAGTTTGCAGTAGCAGCAGTAGCAGCAGGAGCAGCAGGCGCAACAGCAGAAGTAGTAGCAGCAAGAACAGTAATCGTCGTTGTTATAAATGTTGTTCTTCTTCCAAGCCAGAAACGAATCCAGGCTAAAACGAAGCAAGGATTCCAGGCTTGTGATCCAATCCAGGAACGAATCCAGCATGAAATGAAGCAGGAATTCAGGCTTGTTTTCAAATCCAAGAACGATCCAGGAACGAATCCAGGACGGAATCTAGGGTGGCCAGGAGGCCCCTCACACCTGGTTCTGGGGGCAATACCAAAAAAATGAAAAACAGCACCATGTTATTTCATCATGCTTTTATCATGGTTTTATCTTTTTTGCGTTTTAAATCTCTTGTTATCCGTTTGTTTGGTGGTTGTATCTTTCCCCTGGATTTCCCCCCACCGAAATGTTTTAATCATTGTTATCATTTGCTTAGCCTGTTTTATTGTTTTCTTATCATTCCGGACAGCGGCCTGCATTCGGGAGATCATGTTTTATGACTCTGCCATCATGTGGGACCGCGGCTTGGATTCGGAGCGCTATTTTTCATCATCATGGACGGTGGTCTGGATTCCGGACATCATGTTTTCATCATGTGGCACAGTGGCAGGAATGCGGAGACCATACATGCATCGGTTCTTATCATGGAGGCGGGGATTTCCTCTGCAAAGCCGTCTGTCCGTTCGTAAATAAAAGCCAGCAAATAGCGACAATCTAGCAGTTGAACCTAGTATCTAGCAAAGACGGAACTCTTCAACCTGCCTCAGAAGCCTGCGCCTGCTCAAAACAGCGTGGATCTTCAACATCCAGGACACAAGCCCAATATAGATTCCGATGATGATCGGAGTTAAGGACAAAACCCTAGGGTGCAAACTGAATGCAGAACCGAAACATCTCCTGCATCCAGCACACGAGCAGACGGCTGAATACGAGGATGCCCAAGATCCAGGACACAACTACATCTGGAACATAAGCATCTCTAAAATCACCTTCAAACCCAATCTGTACCAGAAAAATACTTACAATGCTCGGACCGACCTGTCATTAAATCCAGTGACCAACCAACCCCAACTACAAAATGCACACACGTATACTGCACAATCAAGAGAGAGACATGAACATGGGTGGATAGACAGACTAAGTTGCTTACGTGCATCTCTGCTCTTATTCATTCGTTCGTGCTTCCACGTGTAGGCACACATGCGTATATGCAGATGCGTATACATCGTTTATGTACATGCATGCCGGTAGTGCCGAATGGAGGAAAAGGCCGCAAAAATGGCCTCTCAGCTAAACAACTTCCAGATCTCCCAGTCCTCCTCCAGGTACCTCAACAGAAATCTCCGTGGGTTCTCAGGCTTTGCGATCAGCACTTGCTTGATCATCTCCTTTACGGCATCTTCAGGCATAAGACTGAGTTTTAACCTGTTCAGAGCAGTTCCTAGTATGCAACCCGAGACTTTCCATGAGCAACGTCCTGAACCACAGTGTCCACGTCGTGCTTTTGGATCAACAGCTCCAGCGCTTGCCTGCTTCTAGGAATGGTCATTGTTTCAACTGGCTCATGGTGCTGAGGGGGCTTTACTACATGCCTTCACCTGGAACATGGGCATTTGCGAGGAAGACTGAGTCAAGCTGCCTCTCCGCCACTTCGCGCGTTGTCATGGCGGGCATGCAGGGGTTGTCTGTCTGTTTAGTTTCTAACCAGCATCTCTATGACTCATTGTGCAAGGCTTGATGTCGTAGTTCCACTGTGAGCTCTAGTAAGGTCATGATATGGTGTGGTGTGGCTCGTCTTTGTGCTCAGTTGCACGGAAGCTTTTCAGCTGATGCTTTGGTGTCTTCATGCGGTTACAGCAAACAATATGGCTCACGCCAAAATCTCAACTCTGCGGAACTCGGGTTCCACAGCCAATGGAATTGATAGAGACTGCTTGGGTCGCTCAACATTCGTCATGCGGAGAAGACCGTTGACACCTGTTGTGAACAAGCAACAATGCGTGAAATGTTGTGTGTATGGCCTTGCCGAAGAAGCCTTTCCTGTTGTACCTGCGGAAGGTTTACAAACTGAAATAGACTCCTGATCTCGTACAGCTTGCTATGAGCCACCAGCAAAAGCTCAGGACCATGCGTCGCATACAGCTCTCCGCCAAGCGCAGCTTCCAAGAGAAAGTAGAGCACTGCAGCGGGCACAAGGTGCAACACCGTGTTGGTAAGCATCTTTTATGAAGGCCTCTAAAGATTTGAATGCTGAGGGGCTAGCTATCCGGCGAATTATATGTCCTCAGATGGATAGCTGTGGATAGACGATAGGCGACACGAGTCCAATGCGTCTGGCATGTCGATAGGCAGACGAGTTGCTCGAAGAGCCTCACGATGAAGAGCGAGTCGCACTGCATGTGCACAGCCTTCTCCTTGCCAGACGGCAAAGGCACGCCATTGCAGATAATGACAATAAAACCAAGCTGATGATCACATGGAATTCCAGACATGGTCTGAGAAAAGGTGGCCTGAAGCACACTCTGCTTCATTCCACTCTTGACTATGTAGCCCTTGCTGATCGCCTGCAGGGGTCTAAAATAATCGGCTTAAGGACCCGAGTTCCACCATCAAAATCATGTTCAACTTGTTGACCAACAAGGCTGCAAGTACACCACAGAGCCTCAGACCCATATACAGCAGAATGTAACACTAGCTGAAACCGCCTTCAGTGCGTAAGTCTCGCCCGTCGGCTCATGCTCAACAAGCCTTAGCTGGGCATCCTTGGGTTTTATCATCATGCCCAGATGTGCTGTGCTTCTTATGAGGCAAAGGGCGTTAGCTGAAGGACCCCTGCATGTGCAAAGTTTTGTTCAGGCCTGAAGGCAAGCCTGCAGACGATTTGCTGATATTTGACTCAAGAGCCTGGATAACTGGATATCCCCATGGCTCTCACCTCATTGGAAGCGCACAAAACACTGATAACTCAAGCAAGCTCCCATCAGCTTTGCCGAGCGACGGCCGACAATGACCCACATGCTCACCCGGAAACCCTACACCCTACGCCATCATCTGGGTTTCTTAAATTGCGGGTTCGCGGCGAGGATGAAGGGGCCTTGTTCACTCTTTTTTGAGTCGTGCGCTGAGGCCAGAACTCCACAAAGCCAAAGCCACCGCAGCCCAGGATACCCAGAGTTTTCAGCTGCTTCCTGCGGGACTCTCTGCTGTCAGGATGATAGCTGTCGTTTCTCATGCACAAACGCGTGACTTGGGGCAGAGGCACGGTGTCATTTTCAGAAGGTTTCAGAAGCATTGTCTGGTCAGCCTTGCCATGCATCCATGTCATGCTTTTAAAGAGGGCTGCTAGACATTTGCTAGCCGGGCCCCGAAGTCATCCAATCTTACAAGCATTCACGCTTGCGCAGTCTCAACATGCATGCTTCCCTTTCGCAGCAGCTTCACTCGAGGGTATGGCACAGCACCACTGGGACCTTGGAGAAGAAAGCATTGTTTTCTCACCCTATCTGCCGCATCACACCATATGCAGGGACACATCTAAAAAAGTAGGCCGGATGCATCAATGAGTGATTTCCTTGCCCCAGGCAGTTGTACCGGCAACCGGTGACCTGAGAGAGTCGCGGCTCAGAAACAAGTATGTAAGAGAACTACTGCCATTCTGACTCTACGCAATCCTGCACATAGAAACGATCTATAATCTAAGAGACAACATCCAGTACCTTCTACAAGTAGCGCACTACTTGTTCGTGCAGACATGCTGCCCATGTCCTGGTGGAAGCAAGTCCATGAGCCCAGCTGGGGGCTGCTCCCGCCCCTCCTGCCGCTTGTTGCACATCTGAATGATCCAGAATACCCTTACACTAGTTACATAGGGTAATGTAAGGATAATGGAAAAGAAAATGGAGACTACTATTTAGGGCTTAGGTCTAAGCCGCACAAAACGTTCTTCATGCAGAGTTTGAGCCTGTTCACAGTTACCATTCACTGCACAGGGTGCTTTAGGTAAACTCCAATATTGCGGAATTGGCAAGTGCGGACGTTTCCCATGGTCAACCTTCAGAAGCATCGCCACTGGCTGTTGCAAGTAACAAGAATGTAGATCAAAATCAAATCGCGCCAATTCATGTCACTGCAAAAACTGGCTCAAATTTCAGGATCCACTAGTCGCAAACGATAGCCTCGCAGTGCTTGCTTTCCATTCAGAAAAGCAATTTCTTCAACGATTACCATCACAGTATGTGAACTACAACTTTCATGGCTGAAGGACCCAAAAAAGGACCAAACATGCCCGGAATCCAATAGAAAATGAACATGTGATCAAACAAATATACCTGTCACAGGGATCAGGGTCCCGGGCTTCGAAAGTAGTAACGGTCACAAGGATCGTAGCTTCGGGATTTCAAGAAGTGATGACAGTCACAAAGTTTGGCGTTGTCATGCAGAGAACGAGGTAGACGGAGACTCAAAAGTGACAGCTGTGAAGGAGATCATGGATGATCGTGGTGAGAATGCCACAAGCCGCACAGCAAGAACAGCATCAGTTCGTTTTGACCCCTTTTGATTTTTTTTTGAGCCTGTTTGCTCACTTCTCTATTTGTTTGTTTTTGCTCCCTATGGATATTTCAGGGATGACTTGCATGATCTCAGATGGTCCAATAAGGCCTCCCCAAGAACTTGGATACAGCTTTACAGGCTTTACACCCCTTGTCTCTACGCTCGAAGTGTGTACCCACCTCGGACTGATCAATCCGTATGCTGCATCTGCTCCAAAAAACCCTGAAATTCGGCCAACGCCAAAGTCAGCAAGGATGCATCTCGCTTGGAGCGGCCCTCCTGCTTTAGCTGTGCCCACAGCTCGCGTAGCTCGCCATCTCTCTTGGACAGGATAGCCTCGAGTTCCTGTCCAACAGGCACATCCCCATCAGCCTGTAGGACCCACTCCGTGAGCATGTCATGTATCGAAGCTCGCCTAGACAACTTTCAAAGGGGTGGTTCAGCAAAGCGTTGCAAAGCCACTGGAGGACTAATTCAATTGAAAATGCCGTTTGGGTGGTCATGGCCATCCCTGAAACGCCTGAGTTTGCTTCTGACTTCTGTGCCATGGGGAGGTACTAGGGCAAAATAACAATAAGCAATAGAATACTGCCGCTGACTTTGCCGCTACCACAACACTGCTAGATCAAGCTCTAGGCTCTAGCAGCCTCCAGCACCAGCACATCCCAATTGCGTTGCGCTGTTGCGAAAATAAACCCCAACGCTACTAATATTGCTCCTCCTTCCACTCTTCAGTACCAAGACCCTCCCCAAACAGAGTCTGGGCTTGGGAGGCCAGTATTCACAGGGCTTTAATTTGCTGAGCAGATGTCGCCATGAGTCAGTCCTGCACCCGGGACTCCAGGATGGCCACGTGCTCTTGCCTACGAGACCATTTCGGTGCAGCACTACAAGCGCAACGTGTTTCACCAAAGGGCACCTGCATTCGCCAGCTGACTCTACGGAGCTCATGCCTGTCAAGGCCTCAGCCAGGTGTCACAGCCACTGACAAAAATCCGCAGAACTCCACTCACAACATTCTCACAACTGAGTCTAGATGAGTCAAGGGCAATTGCTTCAGGTCGTCGATAGACGTCCAAAGCTGAGACCCACCAGTATGTCTCATGGAAGGCCCCAGGCTCCTAGGACTTGCTTCGGGGCTCTTGCAGACTGCAGATCCAAAGAAGGGAAGCACAGCAATAAAACTTTGAATTTCGAATAAGGTTCTTGTCGAACGAAGGCATCACAGTTGCCGTGACCAACCTTGGCCCCACAGTGGTCGTTGAAGGTTGGTGAGCCCAAGTCGCCGCAAAAAGTGATGTCGAAGACCAGCTTCATATTCTTGAAGTGGTCAGCTGTACAGGCCTCGCCAAGCTCAAAGTAGAAGGCCGGCTGCCCCCAGGACTCGGGATTTGGCGTGGGACCCTTGGCATCCTCGGGCTCGGTGCCTTTGGGCCAAAACCAGACACGCATGTGTCCAGCCAAAGGGTCCCACTCGGCAGCGTAGGTTCCACCGCCACCCTCGTTGAAGCTGGGGCCTACCGTACCTGTCAAGCCACGTTGCGAGCAGCCTTGGTTTTGCCACTGCCCTGGCGCGTTAACATCGCAGTTGAAAGCCTTGCCCTGGCCGTAAATGCCAGGGTTCCACCAGGCTTTCTTGTCCGTTTGTTCTGTTAAGTTTAAGTGCGACTGCGTACAGCCAGCTTTGGTGTGCAAAGTTGTTGAAACATTGTCCTCATCGTGAATCCATTCAATAATGTCAAACTCACCCCAGTCCGGCCAAATGTGTCCGGGATCCTCTCCGAACATCCAGAACGCTGGCCAAGAGCCGCAGCCTGCCAGCCATCACCCATCACACACTATACTATACCATGCTATACTATTCTGTACCATACTGCAACCCACTGCAACTCACCAGCTTGAAGGTCATCTGACATGTCAGTCACACATCAAACAAGTCCTGTTGGAGCATGGTCCAGAGTGATGATGAAGAGGCCATCATTGTAGCGCTTGGTAGACTCCAGCCGAATGGATTTGCGGCCCCTGCCCTCCCCTATGTTCAGCACCGTCCTTGGTACATAGCCGCTGTCACAGGTGCTTACAAAAATCCACCACTTCTTTTAGCTGAAGAACTTATCGTTTGGGAAAAACAAACTGTCACAGCTTGGCGCAAGCATCTTGTTGTCCACACCAATGTAGACCCCGTCTGGATGGGCACGCACCAAATCCGCTTCCTCTGCAACTTCCCGTGTCACATAGTCAACCGTGCCATGGGTTGGGTCATCGCCAGGCTTAAAGTCCCACTGGTCAAAGAAGGAGGTCATGTAGTCCTCATTGTTGCTTTCAACACCAGCAACATGCGCACGTGCCAAACCTACCCATTGTAGATGGCCTGCCAAGTTATCTAGCAACACTTTTCAAGAGTCTAAACACTCTGCCAGCCAGCCTGCTCATGGACATACTCGACAGCGTGGACTAACGGAAGCCATGCCAGCAGCCGGAGCATGGAGAGCCGCAACGCTTCTCTGAAGCGCCCTCACTGAGCCGCAAATGAGCTGCTTTATCATACCAGCCACCTTGCTCTTGCCTTCAAAGGACTTCTACCCGCTCAGCATGTGGCTTGCAGGTCCCTTGCGCAAGATCAAGAATTGATATGCGCATATTTTTATATATGCATAGAGCCAGTACTGCCTCATCTAGTATGGCATGCAGCTGGCTCCTCTCGATTGGGCCTAGGTCGGGAGCTTCTCTTTCGTCATCACCTGCAACGAGCAGACGAGATTCGACAACAAATGGGGGTTTCCCAAAATTAGGTGTACTTTTTTGCGGGTACCCATATGAGGATTATACTATTTAGGGGTCTATATTGGGGTCCCTCTATGTAAGGAAACTATCACATGTCATGTCCCTTGCAATGGGATCACGTGTCCTGGTGCCTGGCCTCCCCAGTTACACTGTTGTGATGCACTGCGCAGCATAGATGCGCTTCTCTGTAGCTTGGCCTCGCCACGTGCTGCGCCCAATGAAAAATCGAGTTCTGATGTTTACAAGACATGTTCACATTGGGTACAGCCTCCACCCTGTAACAAGCTCCGGGGTCTTATTAAGGGCTATACATGACTATATAATAGAGATTATCAAACTGCTACAGAGTGGGGGCAGCACCCAATGTTTACAACAAGTGCTCAGTGCAGGGGCAGTGGGGTTGATGACCACTGCAGCCCGGTCGGTACCCAACTTCTTCAGTTCCTGCTTCGCGAGAAATCAAGGAATCTTGAAAGTGTCTATGTAGTAAATAGGCACCCGCCAGGTCCTCCACCGAGCCCAGCAGCATTTCGAAAGACCTAGGAGCCAGCCAGAAGTTAGACGAGATCTTCTAACGCACGTGCCAGAATACTGGTTTATGTGTACTGACAAATACAGAACATGGAATGCCTTCCCTTTGCTTGAGCTAAAACTTTCTGCTCTCCGTTTTAAACCAAGTAAACGCACCTAGCGCCACACATTGGAATTGAAACCCAATCGGGCTATCTGATCCTGAAACTATCGCGGCGAGGATCTTCTCCCTGCTAGTCTAGCAAGCCCAAAAGATCTTTTGCAGCTTTCCAAGCAGAATTGCCCGCCATCATGTCTCAAAATGGAACGGAGACGGAGCAGTTACAATCAGAATGTGGATTCAGGAGCGACAGCGGCACATTGCCTGTTCATACACATGCGACAGCCTCTGTAGGCACACCCTCCTGCAACCCGTTAGGCAAAATCACAGATGCATTGTTGCAAAAGCAGCCGTCACACTACGAAGTGAAGGCTGGTCGCCTCCAAAGATGCGAGGCGGTAACATGGGGCCAGCCCCAGCCTGTTCCTTGCTGCAGAACAAATGGTTTAGTCTGTAAGCCCACCCCACAAGGCATCTCAAGGGTGGAGTTTTTTTTGTGTGTGTGTGTGTTTAATTTGTTGTTGTCCTTTTTTGGGTGGAGGGAGAGGTCATGGGTGGCGGATGGGCGGAGGGGTGTTGTTGGGAAGGCCGCCTTTTGAAAACATAAAGAGTGACGGAATATTGGAATATAATAGAAACCGTGACAGATGATGGAAAATGAAAAATAATGGAACATGAAGGAAGCCATGAAATATGGACTGGTGAAAATGACAAAAGCAGTGAACATGATGAATAGCGCTCGAAAGTAAAGTGATCAAAAGCATGAAGAAGCTGAAATAATGTGACACGAAATGTTGAAACTGATGACACATCAGGAAATGACAAAATATGATGCAATATCACAATTGTGGAAATATCAGGAAGTGATATGACGTGAAAGATGATGAAAAGTTGCGGAGCATGATGGAAGATGTTAAATGCCGTGAGAATGAAAGAAAATGACAGTAAATCAACAAAATCATGGCAAGGGATATATATACATATGCTGAAAAATTGATTGAAAACCACGAAAGGCGATGAAAAAGATGAAGCTGATGAACAATGATGGCATACGAAATACGATGGAACCTGATGAAAAAAATGGAAAGAAGCACGATAACAAAAATATGCTGGAGAAATCTTGAATGCTGATAGAATATGAGAGAGACGTGATGAAAAGCATCTTGAACAATCAAATAACCGTAACTAGTAATGATAACAATAATCACAATAATCTCATGGTTCTTTTTTTACAGTAACATTTGTCATGAAGTAGGAGCTATACACTACGAGCAATAAAAACAATGCGAATAACCTTCTGTGTGTGCTTCTTTCTTTCGTGTCCTTCTTTCCGTCGTTCTTTATTCAAGGCTTTCTTTTTTCTGAATTTCATTCTTGCTGTCTTCTTTTCTGTAATCCGTTCCTATGATCGTTCTAATTAGAAACTATAAGTCTTACTTTTTGTTGATTCCTTTCGCTCTTTCTCTCTTTCCGCCTCTTTCTTTCTTTCTTTCATGCGGGCTGTGGGATGACCCTGTAGGATCACCCCGGGCTCCTGCCCAGCCCTTGTTGGGCTTCTTGGTCTGAACTACACCCCTCTAGAACCACATTATGGCTGAGGTGAAATTTAGTGACAGGATGGGTCAAATTGGCTGATATGGGTAGGTAGTGCGTTGCCATAGTGCGGTTGCTTGACATCCACTTGTGAAACTAGGTGGCCAAATGCGACAGGTCTACCATAATACTTTCCGCCTCTCTATCTCTCTCTTCTTCTTCTTCTTATTCTATGTGCTATGCGCGTCCCAAGGGGGCGCGCCGGGGCGAACCCCAAGCACTGCTTCCCCGATTTGGTCAGTTGGAGAAAAAGGGATGACTTCTGAAGGCCTTTTGCTCGCATAGTCTTCTATCTCTCTCTTTCGCTCTCTCTCTCTCTCTCTCTCTCTCTCTGCCTGCATGCAGAAGGTCATGAGACCCCCCGCCGGGGTTCCACACGCAACTGTCGAATAGCAAACATCAAAAACTGTATAGGTCTTTCTTTCTATTCTTCAGCCGGTTTAATCTTTAAAGGCAGCTGATTATTTCGATAAAAATCGTGCAGCATGAGGCGCGTCTGTTGATGGCTCAGAAATACTTAGCGCAAATGCATACATTGGGATGAATCTCAGGAATCACTTGGGACGAGTGATATTGGTAAAGGCTTGGCTTTGCGATCATTACTTGCGATCCCTGTGGCTCTGCTTCACATTTTGCTGCGGCCCCATTTCCTCAGACCCATGTGAATATGACCCCATTTAGGATTTAGGCTGGGGGTCACTTCTCGGGACCGAGGGACCTCTTCCTCACGCTTAGGAGCGCTGCCAAAGGCTTGTCCGCGGCAAGGTCTTATACACATGTCTCGGTGGCTTAACCTCAGCCTTTTTGGGCCAGGAGCTAGGGCTTGCGCTACCTCGAAGGCTCTACCTCTCAAGGATCCGCTTTAGGCGCGCTCCTCACTTTAGTGAAACCTAAACCTCACCTTTCGGTGAGGACGGATCACCTGGCCTGGATTGAGTCGCTCTTATTGCAACCTCGTCCGTGATGAGGGCTGGCCGATCCGTCGCAAGCTAAAGATACAACAGTGAGGATCAGCAATCTGCAGTTGTTCGTCGAAGACCGGCTTCCAATGCGCCGACGCAGCATACAAAGTGTGCGGCGTCTTTACGAGCTTCATCTAAAAGAGATCCTGGAGCTCTCTCTTAGAGCTGGCCGCGTGACGATCGACTAGGGTTCCAAACAGGACTGCGGACGTTCTTTCTCTTGCAGACTCTGATTTGTCGGTTGCATTTGCTCCATCAAAATGGGCCGAAAGACTGCACTTAGGGTTGCGAGTTGGGGTCACTCACGGGATCCTGTGACTCTGCTTAGGGTTTCGCTTCGGTTTCCTTCCCTCAAACCCATGTGAATATTTACGACCCTACTTGCAGTTTAGGCTGCGGGCCACTTCCGGGGACCCAAGGGACTCTGCTCATTGTTTCGATTTGGGACCACTCCTTGGGAACGCTGCAATATGACCCAACTTAGGCCCAAATCTTGGGACCAAGGGACTCTACTGAGGGTTTCGGTTTGGGGTCACTCCTTGGGATCCCTGTGACTGCTGAGGGTTGGGCAGCCTTCCGCGGCATGATCTGGCTTGCAGAAAAAGTTGGCACTGGTCCACAAGCCCAGGATCCAGTCGAACATCATTGCAAAATGTCACGATGCTACACGTGCAAACTTGTGCCTGCATAACTGTCCCAAGAAGATCACGCAGGAAGCCGACACGCAAATTGGTAAAATCCTGTCAGTGCACGCATGCATGCCGCTGAACATTCTGGCACAACAGGTGAACTTGTTGAGGCGGCTTCTTGAACCGATTTGCATGGGGAGCTATACTACCTTCTGGGTTTGCCAGTCACGCTAAACGAGGCACAAACCTTCGATCACAATGATTATTAGAGCCTAGTCGGCCAAGTGGCACCAAAAAGACCATTGACTTTAGGACGACATTAGCCAGAAAATTCGATTTCAGGCACCGAAATATCAGGTAGGGGCGAGATTGAGAATCACTTAGGGCCATTCAAAAGCATGGTTTCGAGAGCCGATCGGCTGACCCATACCAAAACTCAAAAATGAATCTCATCCTGAGTGATTTCGTTCTTTCTCTTCCTAAGAAAGCTCCCGTCCGCTGTTGATGCCACTGCTGAGCCGGGATCTCGGCCTAGTCTTGTAGCTCTAGGAAACGGACCTCTTCGAGATCCCGGGAATATGCTGACAGCACTTGCACAACATCGCTGATTGCCACGCGCTCTGATTTGATTATGGATTACGGCTTCTCTAAGCCTTTCCCTTATGCCTGCACTTGTTCAAACAGAAGCCTGCGAGGGCTGCCAAAGATACCGCCTTCTGAGAACCGGACAATCTGTCCAAACGCAAGAACTTTGCATTGTCCGAGGTTACCTGGTCACGAGTGACAGACGAACGCCAGGCATTCAAGATATGTGTCGCCATCCAGAGCCATCATTTCAATCTGCTTTAAGCCAAGGAAATACCTTGCACGAAAAACTCTATGCTCAAATTGCTGTCCGCCCATCGCCTTGATGGTAGCAGCCCGTCCCTCGTTTGTGAGCAGCGCGCGCTCGCCGAAATAGCGGGCCTCCGCCACAGTGGCCTGACATCTCCCTTCTGCGAAAGAAGGCAAAAATGGATCATCAAGAGCAGGCAATTAAAATATCCCTTGCCCCGCGGACCATGCATCTGGTTCCCTGTTTTCTTGCTCTGTGGCCAAACGAGTGAACACCTATCATGTTGGCTGTCCACTTGCGGAGGCATGTCCCTCTTTCTTTGCTTCTTGGCTCATTGCATTCTGCTTTTGGGCCTTCCCGTTGCCTTCCTCTGTGGCATCTTTCTTCATCTTGTTCTTCTGAGGAAGGCTCCAGATGCTCCTGAGTCATCCTTGTCGCTTTCTGTCCTGCTGCTCATTCCGACTCTCCTGCTTGTCTCTTCCCATCTCCATGCTCGAAAAGTAACGAATACACATAGAACCCATCCTGTCACTGAAAGCAAATGTCGAACAAGGGCTGCACCGTAAGCTTGATTTGCTCCACGGCATCTTTGATAACAGCGACCTGCAACCGCGGAACAGAAAAGCAATCCACAGCATCTCTGAATCACAAATTGCTCGAAACCAGCGTGCCATGATAAACCCGGCCTGTCCCTCGATAAGAATATAAAAGGCATCTCCTTTCTCACCTGCACATAGGGACATAGGGCTGGCCTGATTACAGCCTAGAGACGGCAAACGGCTTGCAGGGCAGGCAAAGCACTCCGAGACCTTGCTCAAAGACAGTCTCATCTTTGGAGAACGACATTTCCTTGATTGGAGGCCAAAATCCAGTTTGTAATAGTTTGTAACACAACCAACGATGGCAGGATTTGTTGGCGACAATCTACTGCAAGGCCGGGTGCCAGACCGTCAGGGACTTCGCCAAAGCCTGATCTACAATGCTTTTTCTCGGTGCCGAGCCTAAAGTGAATAGACTCAGATCCTCGCTTCCTTCTCCTCAGGCTTTAGAAGGCCCTTCAGGAGGTCCACCTGAGTATGCCACAAGAAGCAGCTTGTTCTCTCAGTTGCTGGAAGCCTTCCTTTGGCACAGCCTTGTCCAACAACGCCACATACTCCTGCACTGGAGATTCAAGCTGCGCCGATCGCTGCAGGAACGAAATCAAACGCGTGGATGCAAAAACGCGTGACATGAGCTACACCACATCTAGCGTCTAAAATTGTGAACCTGAAATCCGAGTCGGTCCTGACATTTGTCTCCACGAGCAGCCAGGATCTGCTTAAAATCTGCCCTGGCTTAGATCACATACACACATGCTTAAGAGGCAACGTGACCAAATTCTTCAGCACAGCCAGCTCAAACTTTTTGCAGGAGTATCAAGTCACAAGAGTAGCAGGCTGCCTGTCAATGACCCAAAGCTCCGAATCCACCACAGCCTGCGACCACTTGCAACAAAACTGGAAGCGGATAACGGAGCAGCGTTGCAGCTCAGCACCAAAGCCTTGACCGTTGCAGCGCGAGGCGCTGTGTAAATCAGAGCCAACCTCACGAATTCAGCTAAGTGGCAGAAGCTTAAGGGGATGCATCTGCAAGCATACAAGCATGATGAGCCGTCGGCTCACCAAAGCTGTTACCAGGCTTGAGCTGACCCACGCCTGCAGGACAGGTAGGCATATCCCCTCAACATGGAAGTTTGACCGGGGAAGCGGCGGTGTTCTTTCCTGGGTTCACTCTGGCTCCCGCTTGAGGCACTGCTGCAGCAACAAGCGCCCGACTGGATGACGTCAAATTTGCCTGACCTTTGCATTACAACATCTGGCAAACCACCCGGCAGAAGAATGACACATTCTGTTTAGGAGGGCGGGCTTGACGATGTAGAAGAATGTCGCATTCAAATCCCCTTCGGTGATGACATCTACGCCAGGCTTCACCTCTTCCTGCAGAACACGTCCGTCAAACCTCGTGTCCTTTGCTTGACAGTGTCCTTCCAAGACCGGTCGATGAGTCTCTGAGTGCTGGCTTCGTCCAAGGACACCTGACTGTGAACCCTCAACCCACGCTTTTGGCTAAACTCGTAAAATGTGCCTTGGTGAGCTGATACACGCTACACCAAACTAGAACAAAGCAGCTGAGGCAGCAGCTAAGCCCTGCAAATTTGTGTTTTCCCTCAGGGCCTGGCTGCAAAAAGCAATAGTTTTCAAGTTTGAGCTCCTGCTTGGCATGACAAGGAGGCCGTGGGAGAAAAGCTCAAAGGCTACGAAGCGCCATCGAGCACACAATGGTGTAACGTGCCTTTGCCATGACCAGCCGCTCGTCCTCTGTCTTGGGACTTGGTGGCTTTGCCTTGCCAGACCACTGTTCAAAACCCTGCTGGACCTGTCAGTCTGACCAGGCCTCTGAATGCTCAACAAAACCACCTCCAACTGCCTGCAGGCATGCTTCCATGCTACCAAGATACGGTCCTCATATTGATATGAGTGACGGAACAAGACCAGTGTGCACTTAAGCTGAGGCCGCAGCATTTCGCTGCTTGAACTCCAATTTCTCTCGCAGACCCAGCTCGTCAAATTTGCTCCGCCGGACAATAATGGTAGTCAGCGGCTGCTTCCTCTGGGATCTCAAGCATGTCGCACATCTTAACTGTCTCCTGCACTATGCCTGCATCTTCATACCATAATCAACATGCACTTTTCAACTACCCTGATCGCTCCGAAAAACGGACACGACCACAATGAACCCCAGAACGCAGGCAAAATGATGAATGCGACCAAGGCGCGCCACGATAGTTGCAGTTCGCGGCTCGTCCCGCAGAAGGGCATTCTCACCGAAGTAATCTCCTTCCTAGCTTCAGGAGTTGTCTTCACGTGATATCTTTGCCATGTGCCTTCTTGATTTGGTTGGGGAAGGGTCACGAATGCTGCAACGCTCAAAACGATCTGGCGCTGCCACAGATTCAAATACTGAGCGCGTGCCAAACTTTGCTTAATTTCGAGTCCCGGACTTTCAGCCCAACTTCCAAAAGATTGAGAAGGTTCATACTTCATCATACTCCAGCAGCTCATGAAAAGCTAGACGGGAAAATGGGAGACCAATGCTCGGCTACAGGATGTTCGTCAAAAGCAAAATGCTTGACAATCCAGGTGGCGAATTAGTTGGCACTGGAAGTCGAACATAACCCGTCTAGCATCTACAGTGACAGTGATAGGAACGATATAAGGAGGGCCTTGAGCTGTGCCACTTCGTGGCCGTTGACTTGCACAGAGCAGAGGCCGGACCTGAACAGGCAAACAGCAGAGGCTGGCAGTGTGCGGCATTTGCTTTCGTCAAAAGGCCGCCAGCGGCCTTATGACGAACAGCTCGTGACCCTCGTCACCTTGTTCAATGACAACGTCACCTCAGGTACGGTAAACACATCGTGTTACGTGCAGTGGTCCAAGGTTTCTTTTCATCAACAGCAATGGAAAGCGGTTGAATAAGCCAGCCCAGCGTCCAGGTAGAAAGTTTTTGCTTGCACAGCATGGCGCTAGAGCCGGGAGCAAATCTTCGGTTAATCGCTTGAAGAGCTGGACCTGTGACTCAACATGACCGTTGGGCACAGCTCTGACAGCTATTTCGCTTGCTGTTGTTTGGGCCCTTTCCTATCAGTCCACCATATTCCACGTATGAGCGCCTCAACATCCTTAGACATATTTTGTCATGTAAGATTAAAGGCCTCTGCCTCAGGCCATGTCCTGAAGCCGAACTTCCCATCCCATTCCGCCTTGCGCAGGAACTCTACAACTTCGGAGTTCGCTAAAGTTGGCGTCGATGCGATGGAAACCAAGTCTTCCTGGCTTCCAGGCATCAACCCAGCATTCGGCCCGAGGATGCGCTTGTTGCCGCACGAAAATTTGCCAGTAAACATTTGAAGCCAAGAACCCTGCATTATTGGATCGACATTCGACATTTGTTCAGATTCTGAATATGATTCGACTTTTCCCAGTGCTACACCTAAATACAAACACACCTTTTCACTTTTGGCGCATGTTCCATGATTTCGCAAATGTCACCTCGGACAGCCCAAACTAATGGATTTCACAGGAGATGTTATAACAAAACTTTTGAATGCACAGCTATCTACACATGTTTGCACTTGTTCTTCGCTTGAAACGGCTTTGTAGATTCGTGTGGGTTATAGGTAACTTCACACATTGGACACTTAGCGTTCTGCGCCATTAGAAGACTTGAATCGGGGAGCACCCAAACATGCTCAAATTTACGCCAATAAGGTGTCTGGAAAGCTGGTTTGAAGGCTGGCAGCAATATGTTAAGGATGTCCAACACTTCGTAGCTTGCAGCTCGGAAGGACCCCATGCCAACAAGAAAGTAAACAAATCAAATATCAAGCTTCAGTTTAAGAATACATACAACCGACAATCCGGAAGGCATCTACTACAATGCTACTTTTCATGAATCTCATTCTGCGCCAAGGTTCGTCGTCAATATCATCTTCGACTCGCTCATCTTTCTTCTTGCAGGCGCAGCCATGGGCGATTCCCATAATGTTTGCCAACCTACTGTTTTGCTAGTCTAACTTGGAACTCCGTCAGTGCTCACCTTCTGCCTCCTCCACAGCATCAGCCCTATTTCAATGTCTGTCTGGACAATTAAACAGGTCAGAACCTATCTGCCTAAACCGAATCAAAGCGAACTCACGATGGTCTTGGACAGCATGTTGTGGACGCTGAAGTCAAGATGTTGCGTGCAGCTATTGAATCGAAAGCTTGGGCCTGGCAGACTTGTTGAAGCAGTGGAAACGCCTCTGTGATGCTTCACATGTGTACGCAGCACATGCCCTGCTCTGGAAGCTGTGGCAAGGAAGGAATGCTTTGCAACCGGGCCATGGCGAAACACGTCCAAACCCACTTTATGAAACGTGAAACAATATGTCGCTGATTGCTTTCACTAGCTCTTCTTCACCTGCTTGGGACACAAAAAGAACTCACACCACAAAACCATAAGCATGCTGCCACGCCTCCTTTCTATGCCCTGCGGAAAAGCCTCTTGCTGCCAGATCATTGATCCCCGCCTATTCAGAACAAGGCCAAATTCTTCCATCATAGCCATATGCCCCAAGAAGGCTCCTAGTCCTTGGCTTCAAAAATGCTTGCCCAGCAGGGCTTTGCCTGCATGGATTTTTTGGCCAACGCGGCAAGGCGGATTGCCTGCAACGAATCAACAATCAATGCAAAGCCTCACTGTCGGATGAGTTCAAGCCTCACAACTCCTTCAACAGTTGGAAACACAAAAAAAAAAAACACACACACACACACACTGTGCTGGGTACTCGCAGCTCTACATTCGTTCAAGTCGCATTGCATGTACTTCATACCTGAATTGCAGCAGCCTGCGGACTTGCTCAGGGCATTGAAGACTAGTCAGGGCATTGCATTCGGCAACAGCTGGCCACTCCTTCGTCCTGGAATCACAATCAGCCGGCAGTGACTCTGCTGACAGCAGCGTGTGGCTGCTGCCCAAACGCCAGACCTCTGGTACTGAGGGTTTCCGCTTGCCATCTCTGAAAATGCAAAAATCCGAAAAATGCATCTCAGAATTCCGCTCTGACACTAATTTGTGCAGGGAATCCACCCACAAGTGATTTCACCGGCCAGCAAACCTGTCGCACAAATGCATGATACGAAGCCTCACCTATGTGAGATAACAAGTCAGAAGCACGTTTGTGCCCACGGAAGACAGACACCAAATGTCGACCTTAAAGATCGATCAAAGTCATGTGCCCTGATATGCTCCATGCATAAGCCCGGAACGTCGGTGTCAACAGCAATTGCAAAGGCGCCAGCTCGAAAATCCTGCCAAGCACAGCCCGATGAACAAGCATTGGTCTTGGTTGTAGCCACCATGTTCCACGCAAATTGTTGTGCAGCGATTCGAAACATATCAACAACGGGGCAAACACGACAATTAACCAGCAATTGAGACGCAAAGGCAGCGATGACGACAGCGACCACAAGCAGGAGCAAGAGCAGGAAAGCAGCCACCACTTCTTCGACCACCACCATTACCACTACCACCAGAACCATTCACGAAAAACGAGCTGAAACAGTGAAAATTCAATGATAACATGTGTGTTCAACATATGCCGGCATCTCACTGGGGCCTCAGAAACAAGCAAGTTGACAACACTTGAGAAACGCCTGAACCTGACGCCTGCAGAAGCTCAAGGCGTCTAGCGCCGCCTGCCTGCAGAACCAGGGGGTCACCCCGATTCCGCAGGCCTTCCGGAAACCAAGCACCAACCTGAAAAGCATTATCATTTCTGCGCCACAACACTCCACTGCAAGCAAATGAAGTCAATCAGATCTGGCATGAAGTTGGCCACGCATGGAGACTGTGCACATTGTGTTCGGTAGATACCAGACAATAAAATCATCAGGAGCTTCCAGTTGTTTTTGCATTTCTCACGTCTACTGTTGTAACGACACCCAAATGGCTGCTGACAAACCCTCAGCATCGCGAAGTTGGTCAAAAAATTGTCATCTCATCTCCTACATTCGACGCCAATGCGGGCGTTGTGCGCGAAGGCTCCGTTTCATACGAGTACCTTGTATTTGACCTGTTATGTACCGGCTATATACCATTCCTGTATCTTCCCGTCCTGCCCCCTCCCTCGTTCCGAACCCTTTTCGAGCCCTTACTTGTCTGGAGTGCCAACATTCGCACCCTGAATTCATTCTCAAAAGTCGATGGCTACAACTCAGTCTACAAGCACATGCCAACATCTCAGGCCATGGCGCCCCCTGCTTTGACATGGTCTGCGAAAGCTTTGAGCCTCCATGTCCGTTAAAAGTTAAAAGCGTCCACGCTCTCAAAATATTGCGGGAAGGCCTTTCTTCCATGACATCTTTCTCTACGGCCATGCTGGTGACGTCATCTTAGCGAGCCAACATGCATGCAACCAGCAGAGGCCCGCACTTAGCCCACCTGCTGCAGCTTTGAATGGTACTTCTGGTAGTCCAATTGCCTTTGAAGCTGATCTGCATGACGTTTTTTTTCTGAAGCACAACTGCAGCTTCCGAAAACACTGCACAATTTCAATGGTGGTGCATGCGTGTGCATGCAACGAGGCCCCAACACGCATCACGCTCCCCAACAGTGGGATTGAGAAAACCTGCAAGACACAATCCCAACAAGAAGAACGGTCGCTGCCAGAAAAGCTCAGCTAAGCTCCCTGCGTAGCTGGCCACAAGCACCCGCACATCTGCACATCTGTGGAGCGGTGCCAATGGCACCGCTAGCCTGACATAATTCTGGAGAAAGCTGGTGCACGTTGTTGCTGCGCGGGCCGAAGTTGAGCCCAACGCACTGCATCCAAAAAGGAAAGGTGATTCATCCTGCTCATGAAAATGTTTTGCAGCTCTTGATTGCTCAACAAGCATGTTGAGCTCAAGGCAACAAAATGGTGGGCCGGCCGGAAACACCCAAGAAATTCCTGGCCGACCGTGAATAACAGCTGGTGCCACATTGGTCGGGCCACCTACCATGTGCTAAGAGCACAACTCATCCACGAAGATTTTCTCGAGATGAATCCAGGGACATGCCAGGAACAGCCTGTAGGCGGTTGACTTGCATGACACATGTACAAATGAGCTGCTCATGGCAACCAGGGCACGTCCGCCACGCTAACACCAAGTATGCCTGGACACCAGGAAATCTAAAATGAACATCGTGTTTTGCACACTGTTCCACAAGCAGCTCTGCCAACAGAACATCTGGGGCACGGACAATTAAAACCCCGCTCACTTTCAGTTGCAAATCATCACGTCTGCACAACATGAGGATGAATGATGATGCATGTTCATAGCTCCTACGCGCACGGCGGAAGTCCTGGGCTCAGGTACACAGGCGACAGCAAATTTCCCCAGCAGCGTCAGCAACCACGCCTTGTCAACACATGAAATTAACCAGATCTTTTGTTTCCTGTTTTGTGGGACCGTCACGCTTTTTGCCACCAAGAAACTGGCAGCAATGTGAAGACCAACCCAAGCCCAAATGCACACCTTGATTTTTCAAGCTGATGTGTACTGTTACGTGTCATGGTGACATGCTGCATCCTCTGCAAATTTCAGCGCTCATCTCGGTGCACCACTGCCCTGCTCTGCAGAACAAACCAACCATGGCAGATGCAATCGCTACGTGTGTAAGATGCGCGTACCCTGATGCAATGCCAAACCGTGCCAAGAATGCGTTCTTCCCGCTTCTAACAACATCACGTGCATTTGCTGCGCATGGTCCGCTATATCACATCCAATGATCGAAAAGATATGGATGCTGGACATGACAACAACCAGGCGGCAACAACAGCAGCAGCCGCACAGCCAAAACACAGCTGCTAAT